TCAGACATAAAATCTATTATTTTGATATAATTTTAAATCTTTGTGCCTCAGGCTGTCTCATTTTGTTCTGAAATAGTGCTTCAGGTCTGCCCTGTACACATTCCCTTTTGGTAAATTACAGCTTATTTTAGTTTATGGGCCTTCTCCCACCTACACAAATGGAGCACTATGTTTCCACATTAGAATTAGATTGACTGCCTCACCAGGCTACAAGCCACAGGAGTTAAAATGGAATTATAATGCTATACTTGTGTAATACTTTGAACAGACTCAGAAGTGGAGTGGGCCGATCAAAAGACAACCTGGCAAAATGGCAATACCTAAAAGAATCCCACACCTTATGTGACTGTGGAGCAGAACAGACAACTCCGCATCTGTCCGCTTGTCCACTATGCCCTGCCTCATGTACAGAAGAAGAATTGTTGGAGCCTACAGACAATGCCATTCCTGTTGCCCGTTAGTGGTCAAAAGATATTTAGCCACCTGCGCTCCTTCAATTTTTATTGGCTTTATGCTAATTTATACAATGCTTTTGATACAAAATAAATAAATAAACAAATAAATAAATAACTTGTGTAATGCAACAGAGCCCTATGGCTTTGTGTTAAACAAGACCCACTGCCCTAAGATAGATGGTTATGTATTTCTTGCCCTGATCCATGCACTAAAAGTCCATTAAAGATTGAGTGAGCATGTTTGTGACCAGGTAATACTACTAATACTCAGTATAATATTTCTAATACTCAAAAGTTGTACCCTGCCTCAAGCTGAGAGAAGTAATATATTAATAATAATAATAATAATAACAATAATAATAATAATAATAATAACAACAATAATAATGTTGTATATAGTTTAGGCCATAAGCGGCAATAATAGTTTGGAAGGAGATGTTCTTGGCCAGACAACTAGAATAAAAGTCATCCTAACTATAATATCTTGTATACTTTTTTGTTTTTAAAGGCACGATTATGCAAGTATTATGTGAATTTTTGTATAATGCTACAAATACGCAGATGCAGTATTACTCAGGCACAAATCTAAGGATACATTACTCATATAGAATCATAGAATCATAGAATCAAAGAGTTGGAAGAGACCTCATGGGCCATCCAGTCCAACCCCCTGCCAAGAAGCAGGAATATTGCATTCAAATCACCCTGACAGATGGCCATCCAGCCTCTGTTTAAAAGCTTCCAAAGAAGGAGCCTCCACCACACTCCGGGGCAGAGAGTTCCACTGCTGAACGGCTCTCACAGTCAGGAAGTTCTTCCTCATGTTCAGATGGAATCTCCTCTCTTGTAGTTTGAAGCCATTGTTCCATTGTCCTAGTCTCCAGGGAAGCAGAAAACAAGCTTGCTCCCTCCTCCTCCCTGTGGCTTCCTCTCACATATTTATACATGGCTATCCTATCTCCTCTCAGCCTTCTCTTCTTCAGGCTAAACATGCCCAGCTCCTTAAGCCGCTCCTCATAGGGCTTGTTCTCCAGACCCTTGATCATTGTAGTCGCCCTCCTCTGGACACATTCCAGCTTGTCAATATCTCTCTTGAATTGTGGTGCCCAGAATTGGACACAATATTCCAGATGTGGTCTAACCAAAGCAGAATAGAGGGGTAGCATGACTTCCTGGATCTAGACATTATACTCCTATTGATGCAGGCCAAAATCCCATTGGCTTTTTTTGCTGCCACAACACATTGTTGGCTCATGTTTAACTTGTTGTTCACGAGGACTCCAAGATCTTTTTTCACACGTACTGCTCTCTAGCCACGCGTGTCCCCCATTCTGTATCTTTGCATTTCATGTTTTCTGCCAAAGTGGAGTATCTTGCATTTGTCACTGTTGAACTTCATTTTGTTAGTTTTGGCCCATCATATCCCCAACCATCATATTAGTTGAGCTTGGCTTGTGGAGGAAATGACTTTTAAAACAATTTCCAGAATCAGATGGATTTGTGGCTCTGTAGATAGTTTTACGCACCATTTCTGTTTAGTTTTCTGTGTACCTTTTGCAGAACTGAGAAACTCCTGTACTAAGTAGAAATGTTAGTAATAGATATGTATATGCTGTTGGAGTTTATTTCCGTAGACCCCTGTTTTGAGTAGATCTGGCTTCTCAGTTTTGACACCCCATCCCCATTTTACATAGAATCACAGAGGTCAAAGGCACTCCATGGGCTATGTAGTACAACCTCTTGCCATGCAGGGATGCATAACTAAAATACTGGTGAGAGATAGCAATCTATCCACTGTTGTTGTAGGTTTTTTCGGGCCATATAGCCTGAAAAAAAACCTACAACAACCCAGTGATCCTGGCCTTGAAAGCCTTTGACAATCTATCCTCTGTATTGTCGAAGGCTTTCATGGCTGGAATCACTAAGTTCTTGTGGATTTTTTCGGGCTATATGGCCATGTTCTAGAGGCATTTCTCCTGACATAGATGCAGGCGAAACGTCAGGAGAAATGCCTCTAGAACATGGTCATATAGCCCGAAAAAACCTACAAGAACTTAATCTATCCTCTGTTTAAACATCTCTAACAAAAGAGATTCCTCCACACTCTGTTCCACTATCGGAAGAGCTCTCATAGTAAAGAAATTCTTCCTAATGTTTAGTTGGAATCTCTTGTATGTTTTGCATTCATTAGTTCTTCTTATCTCTAGAGTGGCAGGCAGAAAACAATCTTGCCCATCTTTTGCAATTTTTTTGGTGTTAGGAGTGACTTGAGAAACTGCAAGTCGCTTCTGGTGTAAGAGAATTGGCCATCTGTAAGGATGTTGCCCAAAGGACATCCAGATGTTTTACCATCCTGTGGGAGGCTCCCTTCTGTCCCCGCATGGGAAGCTGGAACTGACAGACAGGAGCTCACCGCGCTCCTGAGATTTGAACTGCGGACCATTCAGTCAGCAGTTGTGCTGGCACAAGGGTTTAATCCATTGTGCCACCAGGAGCTATCTTCTGCATGACATCTGTTCATATTTGAATGCAATTTTCCTGCTTCTTGGCCGGGGGTTGGACTGGATGGCCCACGAGGTCTTTTCCAACTCTATGATTCTATATATTTATAGATGACAGAAATGAACTTCCTTGTAGTTGTACAGTGAGCTTATAATGGAGGAAAAATTTGGAGTCATTCCACTCTCTTGTTTCTTGGATGGTCAAATAATTGCACTGAAGTATTGCCCTGGATTTGCAACCTGAAAGTGATCGTGACCACCTCTTTTCCTTGATAAACATTTTATAAATGCTGCTTTGACTACTGGTATGATGCCAAAGATAATATGGAAGAATTATCTAGTTAGGTTCTTGTGGGTTTTTTCGGGCTATAGAGCCATGTTCTAGAGGCATTTCTCCTCTATAGCCCGAAAAAACCCCACAAGAACCTAGTGATTCCAGCCATGAAAGCCTTCGACAATTATCTAGTTCTTTCAGTTTTTTTTATGTCTGACTAATCTTCTCTCTCTCACAATAGAGAAGAGCATATCTCTTTCAAACTCCTTTTCAGCAGTATTAGCATTCTTAAGAACAAAATCTACTGTCTGTGTCGCAGATAATGCATCTCCCTTGACAAAAAGTGTGAGATATTCAACACAATCAGTGTGGTGCCTTTTTACCTTTGTATTTTATTTCTATGCAGAATTGAAATGAGTTTACATTTCTAAGCAATGCTCCTCTGCTAAAGCCAGTGGAGATAATTATATGGGGTGTGTCATGGAACTGAAGAAATACTGCAGATTGTACCATGTTTCCTGGCCTATTTTAGTTTTTGGCAGGAGTGGCTGCTTAGGATATGATAGGATAAATAATTTTGAAACTTTATCTAGAAAGCAAGCAAACCAGAAACAGGCTTCTCATGCGCATTGGCATGACAGAGGCAATTTGGCACTACTTCACATGACACATTCTTCCTTTAGCTTCAGGCTAAATGGTTATGTTTTGATCGCTTTCCTAAAAGCCTCATTGTTGAGAAAAGTTTTCCTTTTTGTTGGCCCAGTTTCGCATTTTGAATAGCCTGTTATGCCTCAGTCTTGAGTCTCCCGCTTTGATCTCCTTGGTTCTGCCTCAAGGGCAGGGAGGGGCATCTCATGTTTCCCCAAAACACTTGGTCTTGCGTCATCCTCAAGTGGCAGCCCCTTTCCTTTCATTGCGAGGATTTTTCAGACTGATCAAGAATTGAAGAAGGTTTGTTTTGCCTCAGGAGTGGGTTGAACTAGAGTTGCTCTCTTGTTATCCAAACAGATGCAGCTGTCTGCTGAAGGTAGGCATCCAGTATCCATGGATAACTGATACATGGCCATCATAACAACATGCTAACAACATGGCTCATTCAAGTTGGCCTCATCATTTGAAGTAGGGAATGGAGTGTTGTGTGGTTTCCGGGTGTGTGACCGTCTAGCAGCATTTTCTCCTGACGTTGAAGAACAATAGTGGGGAACTATTTTTGGAATATTCAGTCAGTCGCAGCTCATTTTACAGCTTCTGAGGGCACTTCCCCAAAATCGTCCTAATATAGTGTGTTTTCTACTGGTTCTGACAGCTGGATCAATGAAAGTCTAGATTGTGTATTAAAATTGTGCTAGTTTGAATATAAAAGGAATTATAAGCAGCTTATTGTTTATGACCAAGTTATTCTCAAGTTCAGGATAATATTGAAATTTCCGCCACGCACCCACCTCTCATATGTTCTTACTTTTTGAGAGGGCTTTTGGGAAGAGTGCATCTTCAGATGGCATTAAACATCCCTATCGGCCATATTAGCAACCTATCATTTGTGGAATGATTCCATCCAGTAGAAAGTATGTTCTGCACATATGCAGTACCTCTCATATGTTCCCACTTTTTGAGAGAGCTTTTGGAAAGAGTTCGTCTTCAGATGGCATTAAATATCCCTACTGGCCATATTAGGGTCATGGACTGTAAATATCTACCCATCATTTGTGGAAAGGTATGCAGTGTAAATGCATGAAATCACTGATGCTTTTCTTTTTAAATGTCTTGCAGATTCTAAATGGCTTCTGGGAAGTCGGGGTCTGACTTTCATGGTAAGTGAAAATCCTAGTTTTCTGTTTTGGATGCACTAGAAGGTAGATTCATCAATATTTTCATCTGACTATATGAATGATTTTAGCTGAGGAATAGCTCGCTAGTTTCTTTATATTTGTATTTACAAATATACTCACAAGAACGCCCATAAAATGCCATATAACACCAGTGCTGCAATATTTACATTGGCTTCCAACTGAGTACCGTGGCCTGTATAAGATGCTAGTTCTGACCTTTAAAACTCTTTACGGCCAGGGTCCATCGTACCTTAGGGACCGTCTCTCCTTCTCCCATCATTGGAGGTCGCAACGACCAGCCCAGTGTGACTTACTCCATATACCGGGTCCTAGAGAAGTGCACTTGGAAAGGACCAGGCGCAGGGCTTTTTCTATTTCTGACCCTGCCTTGTGGAATTCCTTGCCACTCTACATGAGAGCCATGCGTGACTTAGGGCCTTTTACTCTCGCACTTAAGACCTGGCTTTTTATTAGAGCATTCGATCTCTGTTAATTTTTAATTTTTGTATGTATGTATTTTATCTTTTATAATTTAGCTGTAAATCACCTAGAGCATTCTGGGATGGAGGGCGATTAATAAGTTATTAAATGATTATGATGATGATGATGATGATTTATATCTAAAAGGCATTAAATGGCATTAGGTTAAATGGCATTAGGTTTCAATAATGCTTTGGCCATACAGTATACTTCTCCTTGCACAACAAGTGCATTGCTCTGAATGTAGTTGAAACATCATCATGGGGGGGAATGGGAGCGTGGATATCTTTCCTCCTCAGGGAAATGCCAATCCCTTCGAAAGATATGAGGCCGTACCAAATCAGGAAGAAATGCAGCCTGTCTTGGCATTGTGTGCTTAGTGTGTGATTTGCTTGGTGCTTAACTTTATAATCTGTCAGATTACTTCAGATCCGCTTTAGCTCGCTGTTTGAACATAGGATCTTGTACATGGAAACCGTGCGTGCCACCACTAAATGAAGCAAAACTGGCCTCAAGAGTGGGGCACCCTTTGTCACAGGGGTGCATCTATGGTGCTTTTTAAGGGCAAAGTTTGGGAAGTGTCAGTAGGGATGCTTGTAGCTGCAAATACCTTGGAAAAAGCATAATCCTTTTGCTCTTTATTCCATGGTCTAGAAGGCCTCCCGTGGCAGCAATCAGGTCAGACTGTTGTCTCTACAGCATGTAGTGAGCTGGTACTGAGACGGTTGGAAATATCTAATACTCTGGGCAATTCCAGTAAATTGGCAGAGGCTCCTGCTCTCTGTTTTCTTGACAGTTGAAATTGAAAGTGCATTTTCACATGTTAAGAACTCAAGATCTTGACTCTAGTTTTGCTCAAAACTCCCTGGGCAGAATAGGTACTCAGATATACTCTGTTCATCCATTCTCAGCAGAGGCCTGACCACCTGAGCCATGATTTTGCACTTTGCATCTAGTCAATGGATCTCAGGATAGAAACGAAAGTAGATCTATGAGCTTAAAATCTTAACTCTTTTATTGTGGAAGTATGGGAAGTTGAACTGCCCTCTGTGTTTGCGGGTTTGACCTTTCCGGATTTGATTATTCAGGGATGGGATTAATATGGCAAAACTCAACCATAGATTTGAAAAAGTGGTTTTTCTTGTGTGTGTGTGTTTCCACTTTCATGGGGTGATGCACCCCAACCCCAGCAGAGTTACATTTGAACCAAGAACAAAGGCTTTGCATTTCAATTTTCTTCAGATTTTTGAACTTTGCTCTTGAGTGTTGCAAAATCACCCTATTTAAGGGGTTTTCCCCCCTTTAGGGATCTTCAGTTACATTGACGACGTCCCGTTCAAGATAGGAGACAAGTTCAGGGCACCAGCTAAAGTTGGTTTGCCCATTGGATTCTGCCTGCCCGACTCTCCACAGCTTATCAGGGAAGCTCAGGTGAGTATTATGGTTGCTCTTGCATATCACAGCAAAGGAAGCAGGCTTAAAACATCAGCCACACGACTCTTGCTGGGACTTGTTGCTGTTGGCCTCAGGTTGTGCTGCAGGTGGACAGATGGCTCCATAATAATTGAATCAGTTATGATTAAGTGTGCTCGAATCTAAGCATGGAAAGCTGGCCTTTTATAACTGTTTATTATTCTCTTAAATAGAATTACTTTTGTTTATTACTTTTTGTTTTATGCTTGCTGTTTTGTGTCTGTTTACACAAACTCATACAGCAGAAAAAAGATTCCAATAGAAGGCTTTGTCGCTCGGGTGATAAATACAATATCTGTCTTTGGTAGTGAGAAAGCAGAAGCACTTTCTGTAGTAACAATAGTAATTGTTGAGGGCAAGAAGGGGGAAACTTCTTTGTTTTTTTGTTTATAAGATTACTCTAGCATTGAGGAGTAAGGCCTTCGATTTCTACCTTCAGAGATGTGTCATGACTTTCCTTAACCTTTTCCAAATGTAAAACTTGTGCGCCTTGGGAAGTCTGACTTGGCCACGGTAGTCAACACTCTGGTTACATCCCGTATAGACTACTGCAATGCTCTCTATGTGGGGTTGCCTTTGAAGACTGTTCGGAAGCTTCACATGGTCCAACAGCCGGCGGCCAGGTTGTTAACGTTGTTAACCAACAATGTGATGCAGCAGTTTTAAAAGCCAATGGGATTTTGGCCTGCATCAATAGGAATCTAGTGTCTAGATTGAGGGAAGTCATGCTACCTCTCTATTCTGCCTTGGTTAGACCACACCTGGAATCACCCTGTGTCTATTTCTGGGCACCACAATTGAAGCGAGATGTTGCCTCTAATCTGGAATGTGTCCAGAGGAGGATGACTCAAAGGATCAAGGGTCAGGAGAACAAGCTCTATGAGGAGCTGCTGAAAGAGCTGGGCATGTTTAGCCTGCAGAAGAGAAAGCTGAGAGGAGACATGATGAGGACCATGGATCAAGAGGTGAGGGGAAGTCCTGGGGAGGAGGGAGCAGGCTTCTTTTCAGCTATCCTGGAGACTTGGACGTGGAACAATGACTTCAAACTACAGGAAAAGAGATTCCACATGAACATTAGGAAGAACTACCTAACTGTAAGGACAACTGTTTAGCAGTGGAACTCTCTGTCCTGGAGTGTGGTGGAGGCTTTTTCTTTGGAGGCTTTTAAGCAGAGGCTGGATGGCCATCTGTCAGGGGTACTTAGAATGTGATTTTCTTCCTTCTTGGCAGAATGGGGTTGGACTGGATGGCCCATGTGGTCTCTTCCAACTCTAGGATTCTATGATTTTGGAAGCTGCCTTGCATCCTTGTATAGTAAGCTGGGGCAAATTTTGGTCCTTCGGATGTTTTGGACTTCAACTCCCACAATTCCTAACAGCCAGTAAGCTGTTAGGAATTGTGGGAGCTGAAGTCCAAAACACCTGGACGGCCAGAGTTTGCCCATACCTGTTTTATGGGGAGAAAGAAGAGGTAATAATAAAAGAAATCAATCAATAAAGGGATCTTGGCTGCACCAGAATCAAGATTTAGACTTCCCTCATCTCTGCATAATGTATATATCTTAGAAATTGTGTTCTGTGTACACACTTGAAAGTGAAAGGACTCTGCCTGCCAGATGCAGCCTTTGAGGCCAAATTATTACTTTTCGTTGCTTCAAGGGCCTACAGTCTTTGACTGCTATAGATTGTCCTGTCTGTGTGCTGCTGTCAGATGAGTGGAATGTATTAGCAGTAGCAACAGCAATCATCATAATTTGTAGCGTTCTTGCTTTTGTTATTAACAGCTTTATTTATATCATTTCTTTTTGTTTTCAAACTGCAGCTGAAGATGGCTTACAAATTAAAGAACAGTCTGGTTAAAATCATTTTCTTTCAGAACATTCAGATCTCAAAAGCCTTTTGGAATAATAAGTGTGCTAATCATAGAATCAAAGAGTTGGAAGAGACCTCATGGGCCATCCAGTCCAACCCTATTCTGCCAAGAAGCAGGAATTTTGCGTTCAAATCACCCTTGACAGATGGCCATCAAGCCTCTGTTTAAAAGCTTCCAAAGAAGGAGCCTCCACCACACTCCAGGGCAGAGAGTTCCACTGCTGAACGGCTCTCACAGTCAGGAAGTTGTTCCCCATGTTCAGATGGAATCTCCTTTCTTGTAGTTTGAAGCCATTGTTCCACATCCTAATCTCCAGGGAAGCAGAAAACAAGCTTACTCCCTCCTCCCTGTGGCTTCCTCTCACATATTAATATATGGCTATCATATCTCCTCTCAGCCTTCTCTTCTTCAGGCTAAACATGCCCAGCTCCTTAAGCGGCTCTTCATAGGGCTTGTTATCCAAACCCTTGATCATTTTAATCGCCCTCCTCTGGACACATTCCAGCTTGTCAATAGACTGCAACTGGGGGTGTTGGTGGGTGGGTTTCTAACCTTCATAAGAAGGTTAGGGGCAACCACTTAGTGCTTAGGGGCAACCACTTAGGAGGTCTTGTCTTGCATCTTCACCAGTTCTGCCTGATGGGACTAAGGCCCCTTCCACAGCTGAATAAATTTCCACATTATCTGCTTTGAACTGGAATATATGGCAGTGCGTGTTGGGCAAGTGGGCTTATTAACAACAAAATAACCCCTCTTCATAAACGTACAGCAGAGTAATTTATTAGCAGCAGCGCAACCCAGCACCAGTAGCCAAAAGTGATAAAAAGAACAAAAACACACAAATGTTATCCCTTCCATAGGAGGCTTTTCATTGTAATAGAATAATATGGTTGCACTATTTACAAGAATAAGGTTTCAATGACAGATAAAGTTCTACCTTCACACTGGAGTTTCACACACAAGGCCTTCTCATCATGAGGACTACCTCACACTCTGAGGCCTTTCTCCCACAGTGACGCCTACTACCACTGAGATCTGTTTTTTATTTTCCTGTCCCAATTCAAGGTGCAGGTTATCACCTATAAAGCCCTAAGCGGTTTGGAACCTGCCTACCTTCGTGACCGTATCTCGTTCCACGTAACAACCCGGGCCCTTCGTTCCTCAGAGGAGGTCCTCCTTTAGCCTCTACCAATCTCACAAGCTCGTCTTGTGGGAACAAGGGAGAGAGCCTTCTCTTCTGTGGCCCCCTGACTTTGGAACTCTTTACCGGGGAGACTAGGAAAGCCATTTCACAGGAAACATTTAAAAAGAACCTCAAAACCTGGCTTTGACGAGTAGGTGCTCAGCATGATATTTTATACCCCATCAACATTTTCGGCTAATGGAGTTTGTGCCCTCCAAATCGGATGTTCTGCCCCACAACTCTGTGTGTTTTATGAGTTCCATTTAAACTTCCTGCTCCTATTTTATCTCATCATAGTTTGTTAATTTTTTTTAAAATTCGGAATATGTGGCCCACCCATTGTCATTTCTATTGTGAATGTGTCGATTGGAATTTTATTTTATTTTAATTTTTTATTACTATTATTATTTTAATGTCATTTTGATAATGTTGTTGTTGTCTGATGTATATGCTTTGATTTTATTGCTGTATTATGTTGTCCGGGCTTGGCCCCATGTAAGCTACTCCGAGTCCCCGTCGGGGAGATGGTGGCGGGGTAGAAATAAAGTTTATTATATTATTATTATTATTATTATTATTATTATTATTATTATTATTATTATTATTATTATTATTATTATTCTCCCACTGAGGTCTTCTCTCACACAGAGAGGCTTCTCTCACACTGAGAGCTCTCTCAGACTGAGACGTTACTAAGCAACAAGCAAACCTGCTTATATTGGAACTACATCTTTTGCTGAGTCATTGCATCCATTTAACCCTTTCAGTGCTTGACTCACATTTTTGTAATTAAAAATACCTAATTAATTTTTCATATTTCTGACAGTGTGGACTCAGATAACCCAGTTCAAAGCAGATATTGTGGGATTTTCTGCCTTGATATCCTGGTTATATGGCTGGATAGGCTCATATGCAGAGAAGAGTCTGGACAGGCTCATATACAGAGATGTGGTCTCTCAGATGGCTGAGACTTAATGCCATATTGGGCCAATGTCTGTCAGATGAACAGAATTGAATTATTTTAGAGTTTCTCAGCTTCTTGGGACAATGAGAAGAAAGGCCTTTCTAGATTGTGCCACCTCAGTTAGGGAAATTCCTCCCTAAGGATACCTACCTAGTACGTATTTTGTGGAAGCGGATTGAAACAACTAGTTATGCCCGTGCCTGGATTAGTAGCAACTAGTTTGCCCTATCAACCAGTTTGCCCAAAAGGGTGAAAGATGGTTTTGACCTATAAAGCTCTATAAGGTTCTGGCCCAGCTTACTTGTCCGAATGCATCTGCCTCTACGTCCCACCTCGTAACTTAAGATCATCTGGGGAGGCCCTGCTCTAGCTCCCACCAACATCACAAATGCGGCTGGTGGAGACGAGAGACAGGGTTTTCTCGGTGGTGGCCCCCCGCCTGTGGAACGCGCTTCCGAGCGAGATACGATCAATCCCATTCCTCCTGGCTTTCAGGAAGAAAGTACAATTGTGGCTATGGGACCAGGCTTTCGGTCAGCAGACATAAATTAGCACTTTAGTGGAAATGGATTGGAAAGGCGATTTACACGAGGGTACGATTCTATTTGGTAACAAATGTTTTTATATTATTTAATTAATGGCTAATGTATTTTATGTATTTTAATGGTTTGATGGTTTGTTTAGTGGTTATTGTATTAATTGTTCATGTAACGGCATCGAATTGCTGCCTATGTAAGCCATCCTGAGTCCTCCTTTTGGGGTAGAGAAGAGACGGGATATAAATACCATAAATAGATAGATAGATAGATAGATGATAGATAGATAAATAAAATGTGCCTAATGAAATCCTACTGTCTTACCTCTGTGTGTCTTGTTTCTCCTTTCAGTATGACTTTTCCCTGGAAAAGAGGACTATTGAATGGGCCGAGAACATTAAGAGGATCCAGGCCGCCCAGCAAGAGGCCGAGCGGAAGGCGGAGGAGGCTGTAGCCAGCAGCAAGGCTGCCTTGGAGGAGGAGATGCAAGGGGGCTGCCCCACGGGCACCGTCATGCCGCCTCCCATCAACCCCATTCTTGCGAGCCTGCAGCACGACTGTATTTTGACCCCGACTCCAGCCAGCAGCAGCTCCTTAAAGCAAAAGTCCCTGAGTCCTCCCCACACGAAGGCCGATTTCAACCCGGCAGACTTCGAGTGCGAAGAAGACCCCTTTGATAAACTGGAATTAAAAACGCTGGATGACAGAGAGGAACTGAAAAATATTCTGCAGATCCATGTTGGTACCACGGGGCCCATCGTGGCCCAGCTTCTAGACAGTAACTTGCCCAAAGTGGCGGCCGAGTCTGTGTTGCAAGACCAGGAGGTCTTGGCCTCCCTAGAAAGGGCGACTTTGGACCTCAAGCCCCTTCACAAACCGAACGGCCTGATCGCTTTGCCTCAGCTGGGAGGCTGTGAAAAGATGGCCCTGTCTTCCAAAGTGTCTCTTTCGCCGGTGACCTCCGTGAGCAATATCAAGTCTCTCTCCTTCCCGAAGCTCGACTCGGACGAGAGCGACTTGCAAGCGGCCAAACTGGCAAACGCCTCCCGCCTCCACAACGGCACTTTCCTCAGCTCCTTGCAGAGCAAAAGCGGAGAACTGAATGGGCATCCCAGGACTGGGCTTTCCAACCTCAATGTGGACGGAGGCCTCGAGGCTCAAACGTTGTCCTCCGCCACGTCCAGACTGCCTTCTTTGCCCACCTCCGTAGCATGTACAGAAGAAACCCCGGCTCTCACCACAGCCACGGCGGTAAGCCCTGCGCAGGCGGGAATCCTTCTTTGCCATAGTGTGCTTGACCTTTGCAGGGGGAAAGCCAGGGGAGTGAGTTTGGGGTGGACAGTGACTGGTTAAAATAGTTAAGAGAAAAAGAGAATAGGTAAAAGTAAAGGTTTTCCCCTGACGTTAAGTCTAGTCGTGTCCAACTCTGCGGGTTGGTGCTCGTCTCCATTTCTAAGCCGAAGAGCCGGCATTGTCCATAGACACCTCCTAACTGGCATGACTGTGCTCTAAAACTCTCTGAATCCAGAAGTCCCAGGGTAGCTTGACGTGTTCATTCTCTGTAACCTTTTCAGGCTTGTGATCCTACCAGTTCTTTGTCGCAGGCAGATGGTATTTGTGGCACAAGTTCCAATTAATCATCTGAGCAACGGTGTTATTCCTCTGCTTGTAGTCTGTCTGTGCGATCTTCTTGCAGCAGCTGAGGATGTGATCTGTTGTTTCATCTACACTTGGGATCTGTGGTCGAATTTTCAATTCTGGCTTTGATGGCATTATTATTATTATTATTATTATTATTATTATTATTTTACTGACACAAAAGCACAGTATGTCACAGCAAACGAGATCTATATGCTGGATTTCGTATCACAAAATCACAAGTCGAACACTTCCCAAACGTCTAGGACTGTGTGATGTATTTTCGAATTATGCGCGGAGATCCAAGTCAGGTGGCCTTTTGCAGTTGACAGATCGTGATTTTGTCGATGTTTATTGTTTCCAAATGCCGGCTGAGATCTTTTGGCACGGCACCCAGTGTGCCAATGACCACTGGGACCACCTGTCCTGGTTGATGCCAGAGCCTTTGCAGTTCGATTTTGAGGTCTTGATAGCGGCTGAGTTTTTCCTGTTGTTTTTCCTCAAAGCGACTTATTATTTTTATCATCATCAGAGTATCCTGTGTCTTTCCTTTCCCATTTCCTACCATAAGTTCATATATACCCAATGTGCCAATGACCACTGGGACCACCTGTACTGGTTTATGCCAGAGCATTTGCAATTCGATTTTGAGGTCTTGATAATGGCTGAGTTTTTCCTCTTGTTTTTCCTCAATGCGACTTATTATTATTATTATCATCAGAGCATGCTGTGTCTTTTCTCTCCCATTTCCTACCATACGTTCATATATAGCACTGACTACACTGCATTCTGCTGTATATACCAGGCATTCCTACAATATTAATAACACTGCTCTTTAGGACGAAACTGATTTTTAAAACCACCTTAGAAGTGGGATGCATATCTTATGAAAGATGTCCTCTGCTTTGGCGCATCTGGATCCAGAGATGCTGAGTGGCTTGGTTGTATCACCCGTTTCACCGAGAGAGGATCACCTGGCTTCCAGCTCTTTCCTCTCAGGGTTGTTGTAGCAGAGACTGACCCAAACAGGCATGCTGTAGATTATGTTTCTGCCCCAGTCCTCTCTTGCAGGAAGAAGAAGTCTGCCGTCCCGCTAATGAGATTACAGACTAAATCCTGTTTTCCACTGTGGTCACAGCAGAACTTTTCTCCTCCTCTTTGGCCCACGACGTTTTCTAGAAACAGGTTTTCCCAGCCCCTCTGGGGAGAGAGGAATTTTGTGATGCAGCTGTTATGCAAACATTCAGATATTGCCAACATGGGAATAATAACTATCCCATTGTTCACTTTCCATATGGGATGCTGCGTGATAGAATCATCGAATGAAAGAGTTGGAAGAGACCTCATGGGCCATCCAGTCCAACCCCCTGCCAAGAAGCAGGAATATTGCATTCAAATCACCCCTGACAGATGGCCACCCAGCCTCTGTGATGCACTTGCATACTTGATTTCAATATACAAAACATAGCAGAAATCTATATGAATAAAAATGTAATGTTCTGGGTTGTTGTAGGTTTTTTCGGGCTATATGGCCATGGTCTAGAGGCATTCTCTCCTGGCGTTTCGCCTGCATCTATGGCAAGCATCCTCAGAGGTAGTGAGGTCTGTTGGAACTAGGAAAAAGGGTTTATATATCTGTGGAATGACCAGGGTGAGACAAAGGACTCTTGTCTGCTGGAGCTAAGGGTGAATGTTTCAACTGACCACCTTGATTAGCATATAATGGCCTGACAGGGCCTAGAGCAAACTTTTGTTGAGAGGTGATTAGATGTCCCAGATTGTTTCCTCTCTGTTGTTTTGCTGTTGTAATTTTAAAGTTTTTTAATACTGGTAGCCAGATTTTGTTCATTTTCATGGTTTCCTCCTTTCTGTTGAAATTGTCCACATGCTTGTGGATTTCAATGGCTTCTCTGTGTAGCCTGACATGGTGGTTGTGAGAGTGGTCCAGCATTTCTGTGTTCTCAAATAATATGGTGTGTCCAGGTTGGTTCCTCAGGTGCTCTGCTATGGCTGACTTCTCTGGCTGAAGTAGTCTGCAGTGCCTTTCATATTCCTTGATGCGTGTCTTGGGCAATGCTGCTGCGTTTGGTGGTCCCTATCTATGTAGACTTGTCCACAGCTACATGGTACACTGTAGACTCCTGCAGAAGTGAGAGGATCCCTCTTGTCCTTTGCTGAACGTAGCATTTGTTGGATTTCCTTGGTGGGTCTGTAGATAGTTTGTATGTTGTGTTTCCTCATCAGCTTCCCTCTGCGGTCAGTGGTTCCCTTGATGTCTGGCAAGAACACTTTTCCTCTGGGTGGATCTTGGTCTTTATTCTCGTGGTTTGAATGTAATGTTCGTTTGTGGGATTAACATAACTCAAAAAGCACTGGACAAATTGACACCAAATTTGGACACAATACACCTATCAGGCCAACGAGTGACCATCACTCATAAAAACACTGAAAAATACAGCAGAAGAGACTTAAAAAGCCAAAAAACAAAAATACATTACAATGCATGCGCAAAACCACATATGTACACAAACATACACATATACACAAATATATACAGAAATATACACACACATATATGCACTCCCAAAATGCATACACAGAAAGGGGGAAGGAAGGAGAGAAGGAGGGATAGGAAGGAGGGAATGTGTCCAGAGGAGGGCGACTAAAATGATCAAGGGTCTGGAGAACAAGCACTATGAGGAGCGGCTTAAGGAGCTGGGCATGTTTAGCCTGAAGAAGAGAAGGCTGAGAGGAGATATGATAGCCATGTATAAATATGTGAGAGGAAGCCACAGGGAGGAGGGAGCAAGCTTGTTTTCTGCTTCCTTGGAGATTAGGACGCGGAGCAATGGCTTTAAACTACAAGAGAGGAGATTCCATCTGAACATGAGGAAGAACTTCCTGACTGTGAGAGCCGTTCAGCAGTGGAACTCTCTGCCCCGGAGTGTGGTGGAGGCTCCTTCTTTGGAAGCTTTTAAGCAGAGGCTGGATGGCCATTTGTCAGGGGTGATTTGAATGCAATATTCCTGCTTCTTGGCAGGGGGTTGGACTGGATGGCCCAAGAGGTCTCTTCCAACTCTTTGATTCTATGATTCTATGGAAGGAGAGAAGGAAAGAAAGAAAAGTAGAGAAGGAAGGAAATAAAAAAGTGAAAGTGACAAGGAAGGAGAGAAGGAACGAAAGAGAGAAAGAGGGAGGTAAGGTAGGAAAGAGACAAGGAAGGATGGAACCAAAGAGCAAAGAAGCGAGAAAAGAAACAGGTAGAGAAGGAAAAGAAAAAGAAGGAGGGAAGGAAGGAAGGAGAGAAAGAAAGAAGGAGAAAGAGGAGGGAGGGGAAGGTTGGCCACAGCAACGTGTGGCGGATACAGCTATTGCCAACATAGGATAATAACTATCCCATTGTTCACTTTCCATATGGGATGTTGCGTGATGCAACTTGCGTACTTGATTTCAATATTCAAAACATAACTGAAATTCAAAAATAAAATGTCAGTGTAAATATGTCATAAAGTACTGTTTTTATCCATCATTTTGCGTAGAGATGTCAAAAATAGTTAACCAGCTTTCCCCCAATCTTTTAGAATGATAGAAGTTTCAAGACAAGGCCTTTATTTGCTTCCCAAAATTATTTCTCAAAACTGTGCAACAGGAAGGCTTTTTGTGTAAGACTGTGTGCAGGAGCAGATCATTGCAATTCCAGACCCTGTTCCCTTTTCTCTCTTTTTATGAGAACGGCTGCTTTATGTCTAGTTGACACTCCAGAAGCCAAGGAGAGGACAAAATGGCTTATTGTTGTTTTTGTCCAATTCTCATAGTTGTCAAAACCAAAAGGACCTCTTCCAGTTTAGCTGCAAAAACATAACAGCTTTTAAAATTCTAATAATTGTATCAAACCGTGCTTTTAATATGCCAAAAATGCTGGTTATATGCCTACTCAAATTAGACGTAATGGATTTTCTGTTCCTGGAATGACAAATTGACTTCCAACCTATGAAAAGTACCGGAATTGCATTTCCCCCCGTTTTTCCAAAGGTTTCTGCTTCCCTGACCCTTTTCCCCATAGATAGCTTCAAGATTTCTGAAATGTTGACATTTCTGGTTTTGAGAACAGTCTGCTTGAATGTAGCTCTGAAGATGAAGGTGCAACTAGGATTCTTAGTCAACTTCTTTTTCAACTTTGTGGAGAAGCTGTTATTTAACCTCTGTCAGAAATATTACAAATTAATATTAGTATTTTTGATTACAAATTGTGAGACAAGCTCTGAAAGAGTTAGTAGGCCGAAGCCTGTTAGAGTTAGTGGGACAAAGCTAGTGTTGTCCTGAGGAGTGCGAGGTAAATCTCTGTGTGAGAGAAGCCTCCTGTGAGAAAGCTACAGTGTGAAGGCTGCTGCATGTAAAACTACTATGTATCTGCTTATTTGTGCTATTTAGTTCTTGTAAATAGTGCAACCATAGTCAAGCACTAGATGCAATTACTCAGCAAAAGCTGCAGTTCTATATAAGCAGGTGTGCCTGTAGCTTAGTAGGCGTCTGTGATAGTTTGCCCCAGTGGGAGAAAGGTCTCAGTCTGTGAAAAGGCCTACAGTGTGTGGTAGGTCTGTGAGAAGGCCTCAGAATGGGTTAGTAGGACTTGAGTTAGTAGGCCTGGTGCGACAATCTTCGGTGAGAGAAGCCCAAGGTTGAAGGCGTTGTGTATAAAACCTCATGTGTAATGCACCAGTATAAAGGCTGTTGTGTGTAAAAGGCTACTGTGTGAAGCTCCAGTGTAAGTTCTGTGTGAGAGGAGGCTTTGTGAGAATGAAGCTATTTATCTGCATGGGGAAGAAGCCCAGCGTGGAAGCAAAGAAGGATGTATAAAGAACTTTATTTGTGTTATGAAAGCCTTGTTCTTGTAAATAGTGCAACCATATTATTTTACTACAAAGAAAAGCCTCCTAGGGAAGAGATAACACTGGCCTGTGTGTTTTGTTCTTTTTATCACTTTGGGCTACTGTTTCTGGTCACGCTGCTACTAATGAGTTACTCTGCTGTACATTTATGAGGAGGGTCTTTTGTTAATAAGCCCATTTGCCCAACAACCTCTGCTCCTAGCACATCTCAGTCCACCGGTGCTTAGAGGTTGATACTCTTACGTTTTTATTTCACTCTGATGGTTTGTTTTGTTGTTCTGTATTAATTTTGCTGTTATGTATTACTGGGCTTGACCTCATTCATGTAAGCCGCCCCGAGTCTCCTTTGGGGAGATGGTGGCAGGATATAAATAAAGATTGTTGTTGTTGTTATAATTATTATAAACACAACAAGATGAGTCCACAGCAGACACTCTGCTGGCTGTTTAATTGGATCACACGTGTCTAGGACTATGTGATGTATCAGTGATGTATCGTGTCTAGGACTGTGTGATGTATTGGCGAATAATGCGTGCAGATCCCAGTAAGGTGGCCTTTTGCAGCTGGCAGATGGTCATTTTGTCAGCGCCGATTGTGTTTTAAGTGCAGGCCCAGGTCTTTAGGCATCCAGTGTGCCGATCACCACTGGGACCACCTGATTTGTACCAGAGTCTTTGCAGTTCAATTTTTAAATCCTCATATTGTGTCAGCTTTTCCAGTTGTTCCTCTGCAATCCTGCTCTCACCTGGGATTGCAACATCGACGATCCATACTGTTTTTTAACATGATTGGTCAGGAGTATTATGCCCCAAAACTCTGTCTGAATTTGGAAGTCCCAGAGTAGCTTGACATGTTCATTCTCTGTAACTTTTTCCGGCTTGTGATCCCACCAGTTCTTTGTTGCAGGCAGATATTATATTATATTATATTATATTATATTATATTATATTATATATCATATCATATCATATCATATCATATCATATCATATCATATCATATTGATGATGATGATGATGATTATTATTATTAGACTGATATGCTTCTGCCTTGACTTAAGTTGGTGCAACTGAACTCCACCTTTGTCTCTTTCCTTCTATGAAACTCTCTGTTTATTGTTTCCAGGCGACTCACCAAAGTTTCCCGACCTCCCAAGTGCCCAGGGCCCCTGACTGTGCAAAATGGCCCTATGCAGAGGCATTGCAGGCCCTTTCCTCCAGCGAGCGGCAGTGCGCCGAGACCGTGGTCAACATGGGCTACTCCTACGAGGACGTCCTGAAGGCGATGAAGAAGAAGGGGCAGAACATAGAACAGGCAAGTCGGGCTGCTCTCAGCTTTTGCAAAGAAGGGAGGGGAAGCCGGCAAGATCTTTCATGCAAACCCAGTAAGAATACCTCACTACTTCTGAGGATGCTTGCCATAGATGCAGGCAAAACGTCAGGGGAGAATGCCTCTAGACCATGGCCATATAGTCTGAAAAAAACTACAACAACCCAGTGATTCTGGCCATGAAAACCTTCGACAATACCAGTAAGAAAAGTTAGAACAGAAACCTTGAATCAGCTGGCATTTGGTCACAAGGGAAGGAAGCCTGCTGGCTTGAGAAAGATTATGAAGTATTTTGATAACAGTTCCCAGTTGTGTTTTTAGCGGCTGATAGATTCCCTTTCATGTAACACTGAGTGCCAGCAGTCAAAACTAACAAAGAGAACAACAACAACAACAAAAAGTCAAGAGCACAAGGCTGCCATTGATAAATAAATATTGTATAATATGTGAAAATATTTATTAGGCATATTGTCACAATATTTCTTCATCCATTGCAGTCATATACATTTTAATACTTTTTTTCTGTTACAGTTTTGTAATTATTTCTTTGTTGGTTGATATATTAAAATAATAGAGTTGGAAGCATGTCCAGTCCCCTGCTATGCAAGCATAGAGAAGCAAAGCACCATGGTTAACACTAATTCATATTTTGGAGCACCCACATAGCCCAATAAAACCCAAAATTCATCGCAGTCTCATTGTTGGATGGTAGTTTATCTATGACACAATGCACTGGAGATGCCCAATTTAATATTTGTCCATCACCTGGTGTTCCTATAAATTTGTAGTATTTTCATGCTAGCAATGTATTCATCAGCTTTATCATTCAGGATGCTTTTCCAACTCAAAGGAATTCTTGTGTTGGGCATGAAATGTTCTCCCTGACTTTTCCTGTGGAGGATTTGTCAACAAGAGGCTCCTGATAGGCTTAGTTCGGGCAGATTAGCCAAGGAAATGCATGCCTGACTGGATTATCCCTACAGAGCGAGTGCCTCGGTTCATCTCTGGCCTGTTCCTCCTCATAGGTTCTAGACTACCTTTTTGTCCATGGGCAGTTCTGCGAGAAGGGCTTCGATCCGCTCCTTGTGGAGACTGCTCTCGAAATGTATCAGTGTTCGGAAGAGAAGGTGAGTACCCAGTGTTTTATATGAGCTTATGGTGGGAAATGGGAAGGAACAATACTTAAGATGGCAAGGTTTTAAAAAAGGTACATCTGAGATAAGAGCAGACAGACAAAAGTTACTTAACTTTCCCTAATCCTGGCTCTCATGTCTCTGTATCAGGTATCTTGAGACAGAGAGAAGCCTTATAGTGCTTTCTTCTCAAACTAAAAGGGAACAAAACACTAAACCTTTGGGAATAAAGGGGAAATGACATCTTTATGCAGCCAGGAAACAAAACACCTTGAGTTATATATAGATCTAGGAAACAGAACTGAAGGCAAGACAACAGGATCCCATCTGTCCATAACTGCTTCACTTCCACTGCTTAAGGCAGAACTTTCTAAAATATTACATGTTGGTGTCACGCTTTTTAAGCATGCATTGATGATGATGATGATAATAATAATAATAATAATGTATTTATATCCCGCCCTATCTCCCCAGAGGGACTCAGAGCGGATTCCAAACATAAAAGGCAAACATTCAATGCCCAAACACCCATAGGTAATTCATGACATGGTAATTCCATTTTACTGGCAAACTGGAGATTAAGCCAACTCCTTCTAAGAGAAATTGACACACACATAAACTATATTAACATGCATATCTCATTATAACATCACCTGTGAATTCGCACATATGGTAATTTCTGCGCATCAGCAGAATATATTTCGATAGATTCAGAGGTGTTACCCTGCAGCTGACACACTAAAGCAGTGGTTCCCAACCTTTTTTTTGACCAGGGACCACTCTCGAAAATTAGTACCAAAAGGGTTACGAATCAGTTTTGGGTCAACTTTATTTATTTACGACATTTATATGCCGCCCTTCACACCCCGAAGGGGACTCAGAGCGGCTTACAAGATATATATACATACTATTGGTATAGTACAATAACAGTATTAAATATTACTATATTGTAGTATACCATTATATTGTAATATTACATGTAATATAAATATATAATTATAATATTAGCGGTTATAATATATACGGTTCTGGCCCAACTTACTTGTCCAAACGCATCTGCCTCTACGTCCCACCTCGTAACTTAAGATCACCCGCGGAGACCCTGCTCTCGCTCCTACCAACATCGCAAACGCGGCTGGCGGGGACGAGAAACAAGGCCTTCTCGGCTGTAGCCCCCCGCCTGTGGAACGCGCTTCCAAATGAAATACGATCGACCCCATCCCTCCTGGCGTTCAGGAAGAAATTAAAATATTGGTTTTGGGACCAGATTTTCGGACAATAAACATAAAGCAGCGCTTTAACTAGAAATGGATTGGCAAGACGATATGTATGAGGATACGGTTTTATGGTTCTATCAGTGGGTTTGTGGACTGAGTATTGTTTTAATGACTTATGATAATTTGGTTATAATTAACTGCTATTGTTTTAACTCTGTATGTATTTATGTTTTTATACTGTGTTATTGATTGTGGCATCCAATTGCTGCCTTTGTTAGCCGCTCTGAGTCCTCCCCCCCCCCCCACCCGGGGGGGCTGAGAAGGGCGGGGTAAAAATGCTGTAAATAAAATAAATAAATATTATATTATTATTATTATATTGCATTACATTATATACAAACTTTTGATTTGGTTTGGTTATTTGCAGTGCTGATTCATAAAATTGCATTGGATAGACCACTTCAGCTCTAGTTTCTGATACAGAACATGTGCCATCCAGTGGTTACCATCTGCTCACCCACAGAAAACCATATTGAATAAGACTTGGCACTATTAAGAGGGTTTTGCGAAACCAATCGATCTTGTTGCAAGGGTGTAGTAACAGTCAGTCCGCGGACCATATTCTAGTTCTTGGGGACCACTGGTAGTCCACGGACCACAGGTTGGGAACCACTGCACTAAAGAGTCGCAGCAAAGAGTTTGAAAAGCTCTGATTTAATGGCTTCCTTTTGTGCAGAGGGGAAGAATATAAATTCTTACATAAACTTGGCTTGAAAGCTCCGAAGTGGCTCTCATTGTAAAGGAAGGCTTGGCTTGGCTTTGCAAAAACCTGGGCCACTTTTCTTCTTAATCGAGTCTCCACTTGGAATTCTCCTAATAGGCCGTAACTGGATGGCTGCGTGCCAGCAGGTTGAGGGTGAATCCAGCAAAGACGGAGATCCTATGGCTGGGTCGACCGGGCAGTGGGGACGACCACCTGCCTACCCTGGATCGCGAGGTGCTACGCCCGTCATCATTGGTCAAGAGTCTGGGAGTCCTTTTGGACCCTCTGCTGACGATGGAGGCCCAGGTCTCCACCCTGAGCAGAATCGCCTTCTTTCACCTGCGGCAGGCTAGACGGCTGGCCCCCTCCCTGTCCAGGGACGACCTGGCTACGGTGATCCAGGCTACGGTCATCTCAAGACTGGACTACTGTAATGCCCTCTACATTGGCCTTTCTTTCGGTGATCCGGAAGCTCAAGCTGGTACAAAATGCAGCTGCTCGGCTTCTTGCGGGAATTCTGATGAGATGCCACATCACACCAATCTTACTACAGCTGCATTGGTTACCAATTGAGCACCGGATCACTTTCAAAGGGCTGGGACTCACCTTTAAGGCCTTGCATGGTCTGGGGCCGATGTATTTGAGGGACCGCCTCACCCCCTCCCAACCCCAGAGATCCCTCCGCTCTGAGGACCAAGATCTATTGGAAATTCCCAGTGTCAAGACCTTGCGTCTAACAGCAACCAGACGCAGAGCCTTTACAGTAGTGGCACCATCGCTCTGGAACACTCTGCCATTTGAAGTCCGTGCCTTGCGGGACTTAGCAGCTTTCCGCAGGGCATGGAAGACTTATCTGTTTCGACAGGCTTTTCATGTTTGATATTGCTCTTTTTAAATTGTTTTAAATTGTTTTTAAATTGTGTTAGATTTCAGCCTGTTCTTGTAAGCTGCTCCGAGCCCCAGGGGAGTGGCCGCATAGAAGTTCAAATAATAAATAAATAAATAAATAATTCTTGTTTAATGATTTATGTTACAATGGTTTTTAATTGCCCTATGCTTGTCTCGTGATGTTTTGTATCAATGTTGTTCACCGCTTTGAGTCGCCTGAGGGCTGAGAAAAGCGGTATATAAATAAAGTAAATAAATAAATTCTCTTTGTTTTTCTCTCTCTCTCTCGCAGACAACAGAACTTCTCCAGCTCATGAGTAAATTTAAAGAAATGGGCTTTGAACTGAAAGACATTAAAGAGGTATTGCTATTACACAACAATGATCAGGACAATGCACTGGAAGACCTCATGACCCGGGCAGGGGCCAGTTGAAGAAGGCTGAAGGGAGCCCGCTCCTCGCCCGGCCATCCGGACCCTGGCCCTCCTCGCCAAGGGGCTCTCTGTCTCTCTGTAGCCATTTGGGGAGGGGCAGAAGACCCCCAGATGACCAACAAAGCGGGGAGGACAGCCCATTGGTCCTCCATTGGCGTCTCTCCGTTCTGCCATTCCCCCGGAGAGAGTCCCATCTGCTTTCTTCAATTACAATTTAAGTGTCCTTTCCTCCCCCTCCCCCTTTTGATTTCGACTAGGCCACGGGAAATCTTGACTGGAGCTGTACATAGTCAGGCCAAGGCTAGTGGTCTCCTCCCTCTCCCCCCAAATCTTGCACTGGACTTGCCCCGTTTTGGAAATGAACTACGCTTTGGTTCTTTGAAGCTGCTTTCGTTTGTGTGTGTCTGCCTGGACTGAAAACGTGGGACTTCCTGGTTGAGAGCAACAGGAATCCGGGAGCGTTACGGGGCGGATGGGGAAAAAGTCGGGGGGTGTCTTTGGTCGAAGGGTAGTGCGCAATATAGTGCAACACTGGTTCCGAAACTGCCGCTATGCATATTAAGAGAGAAGCCTTACGGTGGACCCTTTTCTCCCTGATGTTAGTTCTGGCCCAGGTTGCCCCACACTCCTTTGAGTAGGTGAACCCATGTGTCAGAACAGGTAAGCTGTGAACCCTGTTTAGATCCCCTCAAACACTGATTTCGAAACCCTGGGGAGTATGTTTTCTTTTTATCGCAGGCCTGGGCAAACTTGGGCCCTCCAGGTGTTTTGGACTTCAACTCCCACAATTCCTAACAGCCTACCGGCTGTTAGGAATTGTGGGAGTTGAAGTCCAAAACACCTGGAGGGCCCAAGTTTGCCCAGGCGTGAATTATAAACAGAGACCCTTCTGAAAAACCAGCCAATCATACAGTGTGAAATTGGAAATCGTTATCTTTCAAAACACTTTCTTTTCATTGCATTGGTTCCATCTTTTTTCCCCACACTGCTATAGTTACATTAATCTATTAACATCTAGCGATAGGAATCAAGACTTTTTTTTGGTTTGGTTTTGATAGTAAAAAAAAATTGTATTATGTTGTACATGGTTAAAGATGTAAATACATAAAAAAAATTATAAGCAGTCCTGATGATCTTTGGAGTAATTTGCTAAGTATTTTGGTTCTGCAGAAGGAGACTAATAAAAACTTTAAAACGTTTCTCGGTTTCCTGCTATGGGACTTAATAGCAAAAAGAAATGCCTGAGTATTTTATTTATTGTGTCAGGGGCAACCAGATCATTGTATTACATTTCTAACATAACAAAACAAACAAACAGATAAAAAAAGCACAAAGCGTGCAAGCTTGGTAGGTGATTAAATGTCCTTTGACCAGTATCTGGCCACTTGGAGTGCCTCTGGTGTTGCCGCAAGAAGGTCCTCCCTTCTGCATGTGGCAGGGCTCAGGGTGCATTGCAGCAGGTGGTCAGTGGTTTGCTCTTCTCCACACTCGCATGTCGTGGATTCCACTTTGTGGCCCCATTTCTGAAGGTTGGCTCTGCATCTCGTGGTGCCAGAGCGCAGTCTGTTCAGCGCCTTCCAAGTTGCCCAGTCTTCTGTGTGCCCAGGGGGGAGTCTCTCGTTTGGTATCAGCCATTGGTTGAGGTTCTGGGTTTGAGCCTGCCACTTTTGGACTCTCGCTTCCTGAGGTGTTCCGGCGAGTGTCTCTGTAGATCTTAGAAAACTATTTCTTGCTTTAATTTGTTGACAGGCTGGCTGATACCCAAACAGGGGATGAGCTGGAGATGTCTCTGCCTTGGTCCTTTCACTGTTGGCTGCTACTTCCCGGCGGATGTCAGGTGGTGCAATACCAGCTAAACAGTGTAATTTCTCCAGTAGTGTAGGGCGCAGACACCCCGTGATAATGCGGCATGTCTCATTAAGAGCCATATCAGCTGTTTTAGTGTGGTGAGATGTGTTCCACACTGGGCATGCATACTCAGCAGCAGAGTAGTATAGTGCAAGGGCAGATGTCTTCACTGCGTCTGGTTGTGATCCCCAGGTTGTGCCAGTCAGCTTTCGTATGATATTGTTTCTAGCACCCACTTTTTGCTTGATGTTCAGGCAGTGCTTCTTGTAGGTGAGAGCACGGTCCAGGGTGACTCCCAGGGATTTGGGTGCGCTGCAATGATCCAGTGGGATTCCTTCCCAGGTAATCCTAAGAGCTTGGGATGCTTGTCAGTTCTTAAGGTGAAAGGCACATGTCCATGTTTTAGATGGGTTAGGGATCATCTGGTTTTCCCTGTAATAGGCAGTAAGAGCACCTCGAGTATGAAATAGCAGAGTGAATTAAACCCATCATAACCAAAATATTTTCCATAAGTGTCCCAATGCTAGGTTCGGTGGTCGTTTTTCGAGCTCCCGTTGGCATGTTGAAAATGCTACTCAAAATCCTAATCCATTTGGGCAGAACATCCCCAAAGTGTGTCAACATCCAGTTTGCTTTAATCTTCAGACTCCAGCAAGACTCTCATTTCTCCCATTCATCATAAAGCAAGAGATTGTGGAAACATGAGTTGGTTGACAACTCCCTTCAGAATCATGCAGACCAGTTAAAGGTCCAAGACTGGCACCCAAATTTCGTGAATCAGGCTTGAGTTGCGGACCAGAGTTAAATAAAATCACGTTATGGAACAACAGACAACCACCCAACCTCGGTTGCTATAATCCCTATCTAAAGCAGTGGGTTGCTGTGAGTTTTCCGGGCTGTGTGGCCATGTTCCAGGAGCATTCTCTCCTCACATTTTGTCTGCATCTATGGCAGGCATCCTCAGAGGTGAGGATGCTTGCTAGACCTCACAACCTCTGAGGATGCCATAGATGCAGGTAAAACATCAGGAGAGAATGCTTCTGATATGATAGCCATGTATAAATATAATATCCAGTCCAACCCCCTGCCAAGAAGCAGGAATATTGCATTCAAATCACCCCTGACAGATGGCCATCCAGCCTCTGTTTAAAAGCTTCCAAAGAAGGAGCCTCCACCACACTCCGGGGCAGAGAGTTCCACTGCTGAACGGCTCTCACAGTCAGGAAGTTCTTCCTCATGTTCTTATGGAATCTCCTTTATTGTAGTTTGAAGCCATTGTTTCGTCCTAGTCTCCAGGGAAGCAGAAAACAAGCTTGCTCCCTCCTCCCTGTGGCTTCCTCTCACATATTTATACATGGCTATCATATCTCCTCTCAGCCTTCTCTTCTTCAGGCTAAACATGCCCAGCTCCTTAAGCCGCTCCTCATAGGGCTTGTTCTCCAGACCCTTGATTCTTTGAGTCGCCCTCCTCTGGACACATTCCAGCTTGTCAATATCTCTCTTGAATTGTGGTGCCCAGAATTGGACACAATATCTGACTTTAACGGAGGCGTTATATATGTTGTTTGTGGGTTGTCTGTCTGATGTTAATTGTTGTGGAGCGACTTGTCGTTCCGGCTTTTGTATTATTGTGTTTTAACTGCACTGTGAACCGCATTGAGTCGCCTGTCAAAGGCTGAGATATGCGGTATAAAAGTGAAGCAAATGAAGCAAATAAATATTCCAGGTGTGGTCTAACCAAAGCGGAATAGAGTATGGGGAGCATGACTTCCCTGGACCTAGACACTATGCTCCTATTGATGCAGGCCAAAATCCCATTGGCTTTTTTTTTTTGCTGCCACATCACATTGTTTGCCCATGTTTAACTTGTTGTCCACGAGGACTCCAAGATCTTTTTCACACGTACTGCTCTCGAGCCAGGCCTCATTGTCCCCCATTCTGTATCTTTGCATTTCATTTTTTCTGCCTAAGTGGAGTATCTTGCATTTGTCCCTGTTGAACTTCATTGATCATGATTGAGATTCATAATGATCTCAAGCAAGCCTGGGCAATGGCAGCAAGACCAGTGATGTCCCATAAGCCCCCTTCCAACTCTAGGATTCTAAGACAGAGTACAGAGAAACTGTTATCTAGGCCAGGCACGGGCCAGATTCAGTCCTATTCCAGGTGTTTTGGAGGTGAAGTCCAAAATACCCAGAGAGGGCACAAATTGATCTATGCCTACTCTGGAGACATTGGAGCCATGGATTTGCTTAATTTGACACATGATAATTTGACACGCTGCGTAGCAAATAAAATCTTTTAATTGAAGAAAAATCATAACTCAGTAAAATAATTAGAAGTATAAAAATGACGACATGCATATTACAGTTCAATCGTTGAGTTTTCAGCAATTTCTGTAACTCGGAGTACATTCATTCTTTTCAAACAAGGAGCCTCTAGAAACAGCAACACACAGTGAGTGCAAATTGCTCCATTGACACCACTCATGGGACTGCGCCATCATTTCGGCGACCAGGATGTGTGGGTTGCAAACAGATGAGCAGGACTTTTTGGAGCATGTCTACTTTGCAGAAATGGGGAGTTGGGGAAGAATTCCAGACATGATTACTTTCTCAAGGGAAACTTGCTATTGTGAATGGACCAAGGCTGTATGCGTTGCATCTTTTAAAAAACATGGCAGGTGCGTTGCCGATCGTGCTGTGATCTCTGTGTCTACGCAAAGGAGAGCATGGGTGGGCCTGAGTGAGAAATTTCCATAATATACCTCCATGTTTAATAGAGAGAACATATGTATAGCCAGGCCTACACATTCGCTGAGGTGAAGGATACAGAATCCCCACAAAAGTGGAAAAAATGGCAATCAAAACATTTGTTTTTTTAAAAAATCCCAATTAAAAGATTAGTTTAAAAAAAAAAACCCAAGAGAACAGCGCTCTAGGATCCTCCAGTGGAACTATAATCAACTTATGTCGGAAATTAACCATAACGTCGTGCTGGCGGACTGAAGATTCCTAGAGAAGACTGTATCTGCAAAAGTTAAAACTCCAATTATACAGCCAAGGTAGATTTGGTACTGAGGGAAAGGGAATAATAGCTTATAGGCATGATTCGTACTAATTGTCTTCGGGGGATCCTGTCCTGCACTGCTCACAACAGGTCGTGTACCTCACCTGACCATTTCAGTCCATATATTGCTGCAGTTCATGCATTCAGAGATGATAACCTCCTTTTCTCAATGCATGGCTTTGAAATAGAACCAATGACAGTATGGAGTCACTTATCATAAGGGATGAAAAGACCACCTCTGTTGCTGCAGGTGAGGGTTAGGAAATGGACACACACAGGCTGTTTTTCTTCTTAGGTCTTCCAAAACGTACCAGGTGCTTCTCAAGTCTTTGCTGATTGCCATACATGAAGGATTTGAGGCCTTCGTTGCTTCATCACAGCTACGTTGGGGAAGCTGATGAGAGCGTGGTCTCGTTGGAAGACGCAGCCAGGAAGGGCTGCAGCTGGGTCCGCATCCTTTGGATGCACTTGGACTTCAGGGTCAAGATTTCATCCAGCTTCGTCACAAAGTCCTCAAAGTCCTAGCAGGAAAATAAGTGATTAGAAAAGATTTGAGTGTCTCATAAGCCAATAATTATGCTTGACAAGGAAAAAAAAATCAAGGGCTCACAAAAATTGATTCACATGTCATTTATGAAGTTTGTCTAGGGTGGGCATGGGCAAACTTTGGTGCACCTGGAGCACCAAAGTTTGCCCACATCTACTCTAGAGCCAGGTGCACCAAAGCCAGGTGCACCTGGAGCACCAAAGTGTGCCCACGCCTACTCTAGAGCCAGATTGCCTGCATCAATATGAGCATGCCTGCATCAATAGGAGCATAGTGTCTAGATCTAAGGAAGTAATGCTACCCCTCTATTCTGCTTTGGTTAGACCACACCTGGAATATTGTGTCCAATTCTGGGCACCACAATTCAATTCAGAGATATTGACAAGCTGGAATGTGTCCAGAGGAGGGCGACTAAAATGATCAAGGGTCTGGAGAACAAGCCCTATGAGGAGCGGCTTAAGGAGCTGGGCATGTTTAGCCTGAAGAAGAGGAAGGCTGAGAGGAGATATGATAGCCATGTATAAATATGTGAGAGGAAGTCACAGGGAGGAGGGAGCAAGCTTGTTTTCTGCTTGGAGACTAGGACGCGGAACAATGGCTTCAAACTACAAGAGAGGAGATTCCATCTGAACATGAGGAAGAACTTCCTGACTGTGAGAGCCGTTCAGCAGTGGAACTCTCTGCCCCGGAGTGTGGTGGAGGCTCCTTCTTTGGAAGCTTTTAAAACAGAGGCTGGATGGCCATCTGTCAGGGGTGATTTGAATGCAATATTCCTGCTTCTTGGCAGGGGGTTGGACTGGATGGCCCATGAGGTCTCTTCCAACTCTTTGATTCTATGATTCTAGGTGCACCAAAGCCAGGTGCACCTGGAGCACCAGAGTGTGCCCACACCTACTCTAGAGCCAGGTGCACCAAAGCCAGGCGCACCTGGAGCACCAAAGTTTGCCCACACCTACTCTTGGAAGCCAGGTATTTTCTAACCTGCGTTCTGAATATTCCCTGCCAGACCTTATATATGTCTACTCATTATTAAGGGAGCTCCCCGTTTCCAACCAAGATGCATTTGCGCTTGGTGTGCAGCTCCTGCTGTCTAAATAATGACACTGCGAGAGATGATGCGCGGAGAAAAATCTGGCTTCGGGGAGCGTTGAAGAGCCTGCATGCTCACTCACCAGCTCTGGCATCTTACGGATCAGACTCTCTTCCCGAAAGCACAGGTTTGCCATCTCGTCCAGCTGTTTCCGATGGATCTGGAGCACAGATTGCCTACGAGGCACAATTAAAAATAAGAATAGCTCTGCTAACGAGCATCCTCCGCTCCACTGAGTACAAACACTTTTGGGCAACGACCGCGATCGGATATCAGAGATTATTCTTGTCATTGACTAGCTTCCCAGGAGCCTTCGGTGACCCCAGAAATGGCACAATTTGGGGCACTAGTATATGGTGCTTGACATCTGAAGATCCAAGTCACTGCATTTACCTTCCTGCAGCAGTCTTGTACTCATTTCCCTTTACTGCGGATGAGAGGCCAAGGCTTATAGAAAGTTGTAGTTTTTTTTGGGCTATATGGCCATGTTCTAGACGTCTCCTGATGTTTCACCTGCATCTATGGCAAGCATCCTCAGAGGTAGTGAGGTCTGTTGGAACTAGGAAAAAGGGTTTATATATCTGTGGAATGACCAGGATGGGACAAAGAACACCTAGCTCCAGCAGACAAGTGTCCTTTGTCCCATCCTGGTCTTTCCACAGATATATAAACCCATTTTCCTAGTTCCAACAGACCTCACTACCTCTGAGGATGCTTGCCATAGATGCAGGTGAAACGTCAGGAGAAAATGCCTCTAGAACATGGCTGTATAGCCCGAAAAAACGTACAACAACCCAGTGATTCTGGCCATGAAAGCCTTCAACAATACTTACAGAAAAGTGTTTGTCAAAAGCAAGTTTTAAGCTTCCTGCTTTACACCAAGCAAAGTGTCAATCCTTAAGGACGCATGTTAAAGAGGCCACATTTGTTCCTCCCCAAGACCATGGGAGGCTGGAAACCCATCCCTTTTTCTAAACATTTTTCAATTTCTTTGGTCTAAAATCGCCTCCTTGGAAGTTTGGGGAACGATGTCACCACATTGGGTACTCCCAAGCCTTTTTTGGGTCCAGGAAAAGCTACAGGAACTTGATTAATTTGGTGCAGGAAGACAAAAAGATGTGACAAAGTTGGATCCTTATCTCCTTGGACAGAACTACCTAGAGTAGTGGTTCTCAATCTGTGGGTCCCCAGGTGTTTTGGCCTACAACTCCTAGAAATCCCAGCCAGTTTACCAGCTGTTAGGATTTCTGAGAGTTGAAGGCCAAAACATCTGGGGACCCACAGGTTGAGAACCACTGACTTAGAGTGATAGCCACAGACCAGCCATGGGCAAACCAGCTTTTCCATAATTGTGGAAGTTGAAGTCCACCTGGAGAGCTGAAGTTTGCCCATACCTGCCATAGACCATTCTTGAAGCACTGGCTGACAGCACCTGGAGTGATTCTAAGTGAGGGAAATAACCTTTGTTGCCATTGGACAGGGGGGAAATATTGTCAGTCCGGCACATCAATAGTTGGAAGTTGGAACTCTTTTGGAGATCAAGGTTTGAATCCCTGCTCAGCCATGAAAACCCATTGAGAGGCTTTGGGCAAGTCACACTCTCATTCAGCCTCAGAGCATGGAAAGGCAAACCCTCTCTGAAAAATTTTGCCAAGAAAACTTTGCAATATGGTTGCCATAAGTAAGAAACAACTTGAAGACACACAACAACAGTAACTTTAAGAATTTGTTGTTTTAATGTACTGCTTATAACTGGTTCGTTTTTAATGTTTTATTTACCAATGATATGTGTATATTTGACATCCAATAGTTGGAGCCCCCGTTGGTGCCATGGGTTAAACCCTTGTGCCGGCAGGACTGAAGACCAACAGGTTGCAGGTTTGAACCTGGGGAGAGTGTGGATGAGCTCCCTCTGTCAGCTCCAGCTCCCAATGCAGGGACATGAGAGAAGCCTCCCACCAGGATGGTAACATCAAAACATTTGGGTGTCCCCTGGGCAATGTCCTTGCAGACAACTAATTCTCTCACACCAGAAGTAACTTGCAGTTTCTCAAGTTGCTCCTGACACAAACATACACAAAATCTAATTGTTGCCTTTGTAAGGCTGCCCTAAGTCCCCTTTGGGGTTGAGAAGGGCAGGATCTAAGTACGGTAAATAAATAAATACACTTTAGCCAAAATGCTGGGAGGCTGACAGCTGCAAAACTGGCCCTTGAAACTGTGGTGTGTCTCACAGCTGCGTGTCACCAATTTTTCATTCATAAGTCAGGGCACTTTCACCTGTGGGACCATCCCATGTGTTTCTCACCAGCTGCCAACCCCTGTAGGAACCCAGCTCTGCCTTGCAAACTGGGTGAGGACCAGAGGGAATCCAAGAACACTTACCTTCCCAACGCTTCTTTACTCTGGAGTGCCATTTCCTCGCTGCTGAACGTCAGCGTGAATGCCTCTTCTGAACAATCAGGGTCCTCTTTCCTGAACGCCAAACTGGCCGGCAGTGGGATGCTTTCCTTAGAGGGCTTTTTGCTTCCTGCATGATCAGAGATGGACAAGGAGATGAAAGGCTCTTCCACTACGTCAGGATGTCTGACCTGTGTGCCTGGCTTGGAGCCGCCCTCTTCCCTCAAAAGGAAAGAGGTCAAGGAGCCAGTCCTAGCTGCTTCAGTGTCGGCGTCATACTGTGGACTGGTCACATAGTCACCAAACTGAAGGTTACTAAGAAGCAGAGGGTCCTCCTCGCCCTTCCTCTCTGAGCCTGGAGAGAGAAGGTCTGCCAGGCCGGTGGCTCCAGAGGGATATCTATGGAAAACAGAGTTCTCAAGTTCACTTAAGGCTGATTCCACTCCGAAGGCAGGAGATATCTTTGGTGGATGAAGGTGAGACCTGGTCAATGGAGAAAGACCTGCTCTCCAGGGATCGGTTTCCTGCCTGATGGATGGAGGGGATATTTGGTTCCCAAAAAACTGCCTGGGGTCTTCATCCCATCGCTTCCGGGGCTGGGAGGGCTTCTTTTCCTGCTCAGCCTCCTGTTCCTCGTGCTGCTTCTTCCTTTGCTCCTGTAAGGAGTGGCCTTCTCCTGGAGTATCCGTGTTGAGGAGGGACACGGTCAAGGGAGTTGTCTCTCCAGCAAAGCCCCCTGAATGATTCAGAGTCTCATCAAGGTTTGTTCCTTTATGGGGATACTTTTTTCTTCCTGTTTCTGAAACGGGAGCATGTTGACCTTGGAGAGATTCTTCTTTCGGGCCATCAGCGATGGGGCTTTCAGATGCCAACAGGTGGGCAAATGTACTTGTCGCTGCATTTTTTACAACAGAGAAGCACTTGTTGGAACAGTTTAGAGGTAGACCTGAACATCTGGGCTTCTTTGGATCAAGCAGAGTTTCTTTGCTCATGCTGTTACGTACAACACTGTCATCCTGTGAGCAGTACGGTTTTTCTGGCGTATCATTCTTCAGAGAGGAAGCGGGTGCCGCAGATGCCTCTGTTTTCCACTCTGACTGACTCTTACAGTCTTCCTTGCGGGTGGCAGCCTCCTCCATCCCTGTCCAAGCTTCCCTCCTTTGATCCTCAAGCTCGGGCTGTTTGGAGAAGAGTTCTTGTCCAGCCTGGACTTCCTGGCCCTCGGCCTCGTGCTCTCGCCGGTGGAGGAAGAACGAGCCCTGGCTGCATTCCTGTCTAGATTGCCCCTCGGTCTTCCTGGTGCTTGGACCGGGGGAGAAGGAGTCCTCGCTGAAGTCGCTGTCGTCCAGGTCTTCCAGCTGCATCGTCTCGTCGCAGTCCGGAGGGGAGAGAGGGGTCGGGAGGGTGTCCTCCGCTCTCACCCGTACCTCCTGGGGCTTGTACTGGGCTAAGAACCTCTCCAACGGCTGGTAGCTCAGCTTCTGCTGCAGGATGGGAGGCTGCTGGAACTGCTGGTGATAAAGGCGGAGGTGCTGCTCCCGGTCTCTCTGGTGCGGAGGGGGCCCTGTCCAGGCCGCCTTGCACTGCTCCGCGAAGAGCCTCCCTCCTTCCTCTGTGGAAACTATCGAGGGTCGGTCGGTGTCACCAAGCGAAAAGTCCGCTCTGGACACCACCTGCTTCTGCACAGGCTGCACTTTCAGGCACTTGACCCCAGCGCTCCTGGCCACGAAGTCCTTCCCAAACGGGTTCTTCTCAAAAGGGAGAGAGGTATCCTCGGGCGCCTTCTTAGCCGGTGCCCCAGGCCTTGAGCTGCCGCAGCTATGCCAGTCCTGAGTGCCCAAATTCCCTTTGCGGGACTGTCCTTTGGAGACAGAAGAGAAAGGGAGCTGCACTGGTAAAGCCTTGATCTTGGACAAAGCCGGGTGCTGGAGCCCCAGCTTTACTTTCTTTGGCGAGTTCTTCTCGCCGCCTTGTGCGCAAGGAGAGCTCTGGATGCGTTTGGGAGACACGTTTGCTGTCGCCCGGCGCCTGTTCACAACCGGGGTGCAGCACTTCATGCCCCTCTTCAGCTCCTTCACCCTGTGAGCAAAGAAACATGGACACTAACTTGTATTGTGTTTATTTTAAAGATGCCTATACTACGATATATGGCACAGGCTTCTCAAGGTGGCTTAGAATCATAGAATCCTAGAGTTGGAAGAGGCCTCCTGGGCCATCCAGTCCAACACAATATGAATGGGTTCCCAAATTAGTAAGCTCAACAAATATCCCATTTATACAGTAAGTAGAAAATAATAGAATTCAGCATATAATTGTATGAACTTGTTATACTGTTCAAATTCACAGTCATCACAAACAATATTGTATGGGTTGGGTTGTTGTAGGTTTTTTCGGGCTATATGGCCATGTTCTAGAGGCATTCCCTCCTGACGTTTCGCCTGCATCTATGGCAAGCATCCTCACCTCACTACCTCTGAGGATGCTTGCCATAGATGCAGGCAAAACGTCAGGAGAAATGCCTCTAGAACATGGCCATATAGCCCAGAAAAACCTACAACAACCCAGTGATTCCAGCCAGAACCCTCATGACCAACAGAAAACACTGTGTTTTCTGATTATCTTTGGCGACCCCTCACGCCCCCCCCCCCCAGGGGTCCCGACCCCCAGGTTGGGAAATGCTGCCTTAAGGCCATTCAAGCCATGAAAGCCTTCAACAATACATTGTATGGGCTTTTGTACAGTCACTCTAAAATGGTATCAAATATTGTTCAAATTCACAGTAATCATATTCAACTCGGCATAAGAAGACATGGCATTGACACCAATTCAGAATGGTATCAAATACTATTTGAATTCACAGTAATCATATTCAACTTGGCATAAGAAGACACAGCATTGACACCATTTCAGAGTGATTGTACAAAAACCCATATAATATTCTATCTATCAGAGTGATTGTACAAAAACTCATATAACATTGTATCTATATTGTAGCCACCTCTCCACAAAAGTCAACACTGACACTGAAATACAACACCGCTTGAGCTCTGCAAGTGCAGCTTCCGAATGAAGCAGGGAGTGTTTGAGGACCGGGACATCCGTAGGGATACCAAGGTGCTTGTTTAGAAAGCCATTGTCCTCCCAACCCTGCTATATGCACTTGAGAAGTGCATATAGTCCTAAAGAAGTGCACTTGGAAAGTACCAGACGCAGGGCCTTTTCTATTTCTGCCCCTGGCCTTGTGGAATTCCTTGCCGCCCTACATGAGAGCCGTGCGTGACTTAGGGCCTTTTACTCTAGCACTTAAGACCTGGCTTTTTACTAGAGCATTCGATCTCTGTTAATTTTTAAATTCTGTATGTATGTATTTCATCTTTTACAATTTAGCTGTAAATCGTCTAGGGCATTCTCGGATGGAGGGCAATTAATAAGTAATTAAAGATGATTATGATGATGATGATGATGATATGCCTGCGAAACGTGGACTATCTACATTCCATCAGTGCTGTCTCCGGAAAACCCTGCAAATCTCTTGGGAAGACAGGCGGACAAACGTCAGCGTGCTGGAAGAAGCAAAGACCACCAGCACTGAAGCGATGCTCCTCCGCCATCAACTCCACTGGACCAGTCACATTGTCCGGATGCCCGACCACTGTCTCCCAAAGCATTTACTCTACTCTGAACTCAAGAACAAAAAATTGAGTGTTGGTGGGCAGGAAAAGAGATTTAAAGATTTAAAAACTCTGACATAGACACTGAGAACTGGGAAGCCCTGGCCCTTGAGCACACCAGCTGGAGGTCAGCAGTGACTAGCAGTGCTGTAGAATTTGAAGAGGCATGAATGAAAGAGAGAAACGTGCCAAGAAGAAGGCGTGTCAAGCCAACCCTGACCGGGACCACCTTCCACCTGGAAACCAATGCCCTCACTGCGGGAGAAGATGCAGATCAAGAATAGGGCTCCACAGTCACCTACGGACCCACCGCCAGGACACTGATCTTGGAAGACTATCCTACCTGGACAACGAGGGATCGTCTAAGTAAGTAAGTATCGTACTCGGAAAAGAGATCAGCTAAGTAACTACATGGTATCCACTAGCCATGGACTGAAATACCTAATTGTGATTGTTATCTCCACCTACACCAGGCATGGGCAAAGTTGGGCCTTCTAGGTGTTTTGTACTTCAACTCACACCATTCCTAACCGCTCAGGCCCCTTCCTTTCCCCTCAGCCGCTTAAGCGGCGAGGGGGAAAAGGAAGGGGCCTGAGGCTGTTAGGAATGGTGGGAGTTGAAGTCCAAAACACCTAGAAGGCCCAACTTTGCCCATGCCTGCCCTACACCATCCATCAGATTTGACAAATGAGGATTCTTCTGCATTGCCATTTAGACTCCCACTGGTATGTTTACCTTGGAAAAGTGACAATGGAAGAGTGCTCTGATCGCCATCGTTTGTGAAATCCCCAGGCTCTCTTTTTGCCGGAGTTTAATCAGAACGACGTGGCCGGAAATATAAATACTACCAGCTATTTTAACCTGAAAGCTAGGAATAGTTTCTGGCAAATTAAAACACAAATCTGAAGAGAAGTGTTTGAACTGCATGTGGTTCATGCTTCCGGGCAGCAGCCCAGCAGTCGGGGGACCTTCATTATTCCGGTTTCCGCAATTACAGCCGCGGCTTGGTGGGTTGAGCCATTTATCTGGTCTCCCTGCGTAAGAAGCCTAGCGAGGAAGTAGGTCAAGGAACAAAGCCTCAGGCGGCAGGAACCAAGAGGCCACCCAGCAAGGCCGAGGCAGAACGGGGAGCCCAGGATCCTCGCAGTTTCCCTCTTACTTCCTCCGCTTCTTCCTCAGGGTGGCGGTAAATCACTAATTCGGAATTGGCAATGATATTTTCTACTGAGATCCTGGTGGTGGTAACAGCAAAGTATTGTCGAAGGTTTTCACGGCCGGAATCACTGGGTTGTTGTAGGTTTTTTTGGGCTATATGGCCATGTTCTAGAGGCATTCTCTCCTGAAGTTTCGCCTGCATCTAGGGCAAGCATCCTCCGAGGTAGGGAGGTCTGTTGGAAGTAGGAGAATGGGTTTATATATCTGTGGAAAGACCAGGGTGGGACAAAGAACTCTTGTCTGTAGGAAATAGGTGTGAATGTTTCAACTGACCACCTTGATTAGCATTTGATGATCTTGGAGTCCTCGTGGACATGAGCCAACAATGTGATGTGGCAGCAAAAAAAGCCAATGGGATTTTGGCCTGCATCAATAGGAGCATAGTGTCTAGGTCCAGGGAAGTCATGTTCCCCATGCTCTATTCCGCTTTGGTTAGACCACACCTGGAATATTGTGTCCAATTCTGGGCACCACAATTCAAGAGAGATATTGACAAGCTGGAATGTGTCCAGAGAAAGAGGGCGACTAAAATGACCAAGGGTCTGGAGAACAAGCCCTATGAGAAGCGGCTTAAGGAGTTGGGCACGTTTAGCCTGAAGAAGAGAAGGCTGAGAGGGGATATGATAGCCATGGATAAATATGTGAGAGGAAGCCACAGGGAGGAGGGAGCAAGCTTGTTTTCTGCTTCCCTGGGGACTAGGACGTGGGACAATGGCTTCAAACTACAAGAGAGGAGATTCCATCTGAACATGAGGAAGAACTTCCTGACTGTGAGAGCTGTTCAGCAGTGGAACTCTCTGCCCCGGAGTGTAGTGGAGGCTCCTTCTTTGGAAGCTTTTAAACAGAGGCTGGATGGCCATCTGTCAGGGGTGATTTGAATGCGATATTCCTGCTTCTTGGCAGAATGGGGTTGGACTGGATGGCCCACGAGGTCTCTTCCAACTCTTTGATTTTATGATGGCCTGGCAGTGCCTGGAGCAATCTTTTGTTGAGAGGTGATTAGCCATCAAATGCTAATTTGGGTGCTGCAGAGGGAAAGAATATCAACCCCCACTGTGTCCCAAAGGGACATTCACATTCATAAGAGACAATGACGCATGCGTATGTCACTAATGGTGCCAGGCAAGTTGTTATTACAGCCATGTTGTCTCATTCAACCCCTTGTTGTACAACAGCTCCTGCTGGGCAACAGATGCCTAGTCACCTTATCTTGATGTACCACAATCTTTTCTTTGGCTCAGCCTCTCTTCTCATTTCTGTGCAGTTCTGAGACTTACCTGTCTGCATACCGCAAGGTGTTTAAGGTGTGCTCCGTTGCAATGTGGCTGGGCGAGACGTTGGCAATCATACATGTCTTGGAGTTGCCAACAAAAGAGTCTTTTAGGACCTTGAAAGGAAAGGGAAAGAAGGTGGGATTTAGAGTGCCGAGCACAAAAATCGCATCAGTCCAAGTTTAACTAGAGTATTGCAATCAATCTCAGCAAAGAGAGGGCTGTATCAGAATAGGTTTTTTCGGGCTATATGGCCATGTTCTAGAGGCATTCTCTCCTGACGTTTCGCCTGCATCTATGGCAAGCATCCTCAGAGGTTGTGAGGTCTGTTGGAATTAGGAAAATGGGTTTATATATCTGTGGAATGACCAGGGTGGGACAAATAACCCTTGTCTGCTGGAGCTAGGTGTGAATGTTTCAACTGACCACCTTGATTAGCATTTGATGCCCTGGCTGTTGTTTGGTGTGGCTTGTTAGTGCCTGGGGCAATCTTTTGTTGAGAGGTGATTAGATGTCTTTGTTTGTTTCCTCTCTGTTGTTTTGCTGTTGTAATTTTTGAGTTTTTTAATACTGGTTCCAACAGACCTCACTACTTCTGAGGATGCTTGCCATAGATGCAGGTGAAACGTCAGGAGAGAATGCCTCTAGAATATGGCCATATAGCCCGAAAAAACCTACAACAACCCAGTGATTCTGGCCATTAAAGCCTTTGACAATACAGAGAGAACAAAGTTGGTAGCTTAAGCTTTTATTGACTTCCTCAGATGCAAATAAACTTAGTCGATTAAAGCTTCTGCAACCAGCTGTGTTCTCTAAAGTGCTACAAAATCACTTTGTATAGTGATATTCCAGATTAATACAGCTAGGCTAACGCTTTAACTTTGGGCCCTTCTGCACTGCCATATAATCCAAAATATCAAGGCAGGTAATCTACATTATCTGCTTTGCACTGGATTATCTGAATTTACACTGCCAGATAATCCAGTTCAAAGCAGATAATCTGGATTTTATACAGCTGAGTAGAAGGCTCCTTACACACCACTTCTAGTCTCAGTAAGTTCTCTGGGATCTGGTTTCTATGTCCTCCTCCCACATGAAAACTGGTTTGATTACTTAGGAAATACATTTAACTACAAAGCTGTTTTCTCAATCAGGGATTCATTACAAACTTAGGAGCAGCCTGAACCATATCTTCCTGTTCTGTGAAGCCTGAGACTTCGAGAGTGTCTCAAGATCTTCACAAAACTATAACTCTCAGAGCTCATGAGGGTTGGGGAAAGAGTCCAAGAAAGACCTCACTACCTCTGAGGATGCTTGCCATAGATGCAGGCAAAACGTCAGGAGAGAATGCCTCTAGAACATGGCCATATAGCCCGAAAAAACCTACAACAACCCAGTGATTCCGGCCATGAAAGCCTTCAACAATACATAGTCCAAGAAAGAGTTTAAAATGATGGAAAGTTAGGCATGTAGTAAAGTCTCACCCTACAACTGAAACCCATTCGTTCTTGGGAGGTTAATCCCCATATGTCTCAGAATTCTGGATAGACCATTGCACTTTTCCAAAACGGCTTTAAGGGACGATAAAACAGACTTGGAGGTTTACCTGAGTCAGCTTGCTTTGCCTGAAGGGAGTGTGAGCGTGTTCCTGGTCCAAGGCACGGATGCATTCTTTCAGCTAAAACAAAGGAAAACAGTGGCACCACACAGTGGTTGCAAAGAAACCAGCACAAAGCAGTCAGTACAGAACAGCTGTTTTCTCAGAAGAGGACACTTCTTTCTGTCTTGGGGGAACTTGGGGCATCTCCTGGGCCTTGGCTGCTAAATTCCACCCTGTTGGTCCATCTGGGCCTAATGGTCTGACTCTGCAGAAAGCAGCTTCCCGTGTTCCTAACTCCTTTTTAATTAGATCACTTGAGTGAGCTTTCTCAGGGCTTAAGAAGCCCATGGCCGCAGTCTGTGAAAAACCTTGCCCTATTTATGCAAACAGAAGTTGCGATTACATGCCTCAATTAAAAAGAAGCGACATCCCAAAACGACACACATGAACTATTGTTCAGCCTGACCACTGTGCCATCTCACCCACTTTTCTGAAGCTGGCAGTGACTCTTTGGGGGGCTCTCATTGCCTGGTAGTTTCAAGGATGTGTTTAACGGACATCTGTGTTTTTACATACCATATATACTCGAGTGAAAGCCTACTTTTTCAGCCCTTTTTTTAGGCTGAAAAAGCCCCCCATGGCTTATATTCAGGTGAGGGTCCTGGCGGGAAGGCTTGGGGCTAAAAGAAACCCTTCTTTCAGCCCCACATCTTCCCGACAGGAACCTCACTTCTTCACACAGCAACCCAGCTGGCTCTCAGCCCCACCTTTATCACAAGTGAGACTGGTGGGGACGAGGGACAGGGCCTTCTCAGTGGTGGCCCCTCGCCTGTGGAATTCACTCCCCGGGGAAATTAGGTCATCGACATCCCTCCTTTCCTTCAGAAGGAAGTTGAAAACATGGATATGGGACCAGACTTTTGGGTAATCTGGCAGACTGACAAGGTAATGATGACCAGAGATTGGAAAGGACTATGATAATGCTGAATGGACTTATGGATTTTTAGAACCCGGTGAATGTTAGCCACTAGATTGGCTTCTTTTAGTTGTTATTGTAATAATTGATTGTTTTTAACTATTTGTGATTACTGTTGCTATGTATTTTATCTGTTGAATTGTTGCCATCGAATTGTGCCGGTTGTAAGCCGGCCTGAGTCCCCCCTAGGGGGTTGAGAAGGGCGGGGTAGAAGTGCCCGAAATAAGAGGGGAGAGTTTTCCCCTTCCTACCCCAGTCTTTACTATTCCCAGCCTGTCTCTCCCACTTTTCCAGCTCCCTTTGTTATGAACCCAAAGAGGTTCCTGTTCTTTTGTGCAGAGTGTTTAAAACTGATAACATTAAATCTAGACTTCGTATTGTCTGAAAATCTATTTCTCTTACACCTACTTTCACAGCTATATAAGCCTCACTTGCCTAGTTTTCAACACCTTGCCACCCCAGCCTTTCTCAGGTTCCAGCCTCTCTTTCCCATTTTAACCTTGCCCCCTTTCCCATTGGCAGTTTCCCACTTTCCCGCCCCGGTCTTTCCCAGTCCCCTTTCCCACCTCAGTCTTTCCTACTTCTCCACTTGCCCCCTTCCCACTCTAATGCTTCCACCTTTTCAGTCCCCCTTTTGCACCCCAGTCTTGCTCATTTTGCTATCTTCCCTTCCCCATCCCAATCTTTTCCACCTGCCCCTCTTTCCTACTCCAATTTCCCCAGCTTTTCCAATCCCCCATTCACACTCTAGACTAGGGTCTTTCCCACTTTTCCAGCCCCCATCCATTTCCGGTGCTGACCTATACTAAACCCAAACATGTCTCTGCACAGAGTGCTCTTCCCAGGGACAATTCCACTAAGTAAAAAGTAATTTTCAAAAATCAGGCATGTAAGAAACTTTCTATACACAGAGCTATCAAATATAGTGTTGTCTAATCCACAATGGGCAAAATGAACAGTTGCTGGATTACAACTCCCTGTGTATCTAGCCAGCAGAGTGAATTGTGATGAATGTTGGGAATTGTAGTCCTGCAACATCTGGCAGGCCAAAGATTGCCCAATACAATTTTACAACAGGATGAAAGTGTATCAGGTCCCTGTGAAGTCTTTTCTGGGGACACCAGGAATTGCAGATGTGATTTTTTTTGCAGGAAAAGCACAATATTCTAAAATCTTAAAGGGATATACTTTCTATTAACTTACAGCGAGGAGGCTTTGGTTTATTTCTGCTCCTTCCATTTTTGTCTGTCTGTCAGAGTCTCTGGCATCAGCTGCCCTCTCGCTGCCAGCCAGATCAATGAAGGAGATCCTGGGAAAAGAGTATGAATCCATTTAATACATGCCCTTCTTCGAAGTGGTCTGAATTGGACACTATTGCAATGTAGAATATGTAAACTTTACAAATCCTTTACTGCAGTATTTACCACAAAAGAACCAAACTATGAACACCACTATGATGAGGATTGACTGGTATCTTTTACTACTGTATATATCCCTGATGGTGAACCTATGACACATGTGTCAGGACTGACAAGTATGGCTATTTTTGATGACACGCGGCCACATGCGGCCGCATACAGAGAAGTATACCTTATAAGAGCCAATCTAATTACATCCTTAAATTTGCAAAAGGCTCTACAAATTTTACATCTGCGCCTTTGAGCATTGTTCACTCCATAACTCAGCCTGGAATATACATTTTTCTTATTTAAACTATAAATATTGCAAAATTATGTTGTTTTTCTCTCGAAGTTGACACCCCACCCAAGTTATGCTCTGGTTTTTGGCAAATTTTGACACACCAAGCTCAAAAGGTTGCCCATCACTGGTATATATCTTTGTTAAAAGAGGCTGAGAATAGAAAAAGGTCACTACGTATCACCACAATTTTTTCTCCGTGCAGCCTCCAAGAGCACCTGGATATATATAGTTTTAGACCAACGACCTTGCCCTGCTGTTTCCAGCTCACCTCCCAAATACTCTGCTTGCTGGATCTTTAATCTGGATCTGGATAATGGCGTGGGAACGTGAGGAATCTGAATTGACTCCAGTTGCCCCTGTACTTCGTTCCTTTCCTCCTTTCAAAATCACCTGTGGGAAACATGGAGAAGAGTGTAGTGTGTATACACCCAAAATTACTCTAGGTCTCTAATGTCTGAGAGGTTTCAGATGATTGAAAATTCCAAATGCAATTAATGGGCACAGAAAAGACCAGATAGTTATCAATCTCAGCCCAGGGACAGAGTCAGAACAATCGCTTTGCAAAATAATAGCCAGCAAGAGAATAACAGTGGAATGGCAGGCAATGTTTGGATTGGGAGGTTTTCCTGGCAACGCCAAAAGCAGCCCACTACTGTTACCATAAACCCAAAAGGAGCATTTCAAGGCAGCCATTTGCTGACTCTCCATCACTGCCCTAAAGACTTTCCTTATGGCTCATTTAAACTCTTTCAAAACCTGGCCGTGTGGAATACACACATTAAATTTACAAAGCGAAATGTCTTTTGTGAAAGAGCAGAACGGTTTCTCGCTCCCATTTCCAAGTTCATGTTCCAATAATACCAACAGAGACAGAAAATAATAATCAGAGGCAAGCAGCTCTTTATTGTGTGAAATGCCAATTTGCTCATCTCTGTCTATGGTCAATAATAAAGGAAATACTGCCAAAGCAAACAGCAAATCTGAGATAATGCTTGATCATCTGGAGAGGCCCTGCTCACGCTCCCACCTCTATCGCAGGCGTGATTGGTGGGGACGAGAGAGAGGGTCTTTTCGGTGGTGGCCCCTCAACTCTTGAACTCACTTCCTAAGGACATTAGGCGGGCCCCAACTCTGGCAGTCTTTAGGAGGAGCTTGAAGATGTGGCTGTTCCAGTGTGCCTTCCCAGAATAAGGAAACTCCCAGCAATATGTCCTCGAAATGCACTTTACTATGGATCTAGCAATGTCTGCACGCCCCATCCCTCTCTGAAAACTCTATCCTAGTTCACATTACATCTGTTCATGATCAGCATTATTCTTAAAATTTAATCATTACATTTGGCCCAGCCATAGGTTTTAAACGTCATTGTGTTACTGCTATTGTTTATTGTTTATTTTTTGTTATTAATTTTATTTTATTGTCTGTATTAATTGTTGTTATTGCTTTATCATTGATGTATTGTGGGCTCGGCCTCCTGTAAGCCGCACCAAGTCCTTCGGGAGATGGTAGCAGAGTATAAATAAAGATTATTATTATTATTATTATTATTATTATTATTATTATTATTTCATGGCCAATGGACCAAACAAGGAATGAGATCTGAAGTAAGAACTATCAGGGTTAGCACTGTTTTGGATCCACTGCAGTGAGCAATCCCCTTTACAGCTCGGATCATGTTTACTCCCGTGAGCCCAGACTTTTGGACTTAAGGGGCACCATACCAAGAGTTTTTTCTTGGAATAATTTATTTGGAAGTTGTTTGCCCTTGGCTTCCTCTGGGGTGAAGAGAGTATGATTTGTCAATGAGGTTTTCCATGACGGAGCAGGGATTTGAGCCCCAAAGATTTAGGATTCTTAGGACACCACTAGCTGAACATTACCCAAAAGTACAATGCAGCCGGTGGCATCGTGGGTTTAAACCTTTGTGCTGGCAGGACTGCAGGACTCTGACCGAAAGGTCAGCAGTTGTAATCCGGGGAGCAGGGTGAGCTCCCACCTGTCAGCTCCAGCTTCCCATGAGCGGACATGAGAGAAGCCTCCCACAGGATGGTAAAACATCCAGGCATACCCTGGCAACATCCTTGCAAACAGCCAATTTTCTCACACCAGAAGGAACTTGCAGTTTCTCAAGTCGCTCCTGACATGAAAAAAGCAGCTAAAAAAGCTAATGTGATTTTAGGCTGCATCAATAGGAGTACAATGTCTAAACTGAGTAGAGTCATGGTCCTCTGCCTTCTGCTTTGGTTAAGCACCCCACCCCCACCCCGGAATAATAACCCAGTGTCCAGTTCTGGGCAAAGCAGTTCAAGAAGGTTGTCATCAAGCTGGAACATTTCCAAAGAAAAGAGATCCCACCTAAACATTTGACAGTGGAATATAACTTTTTTTTCCTAACTATTCAGCATGAAAAGCATGGTCCAAGAAATGAGATGATGGAGTCAGAGTGATGGGAAGATGAGGCCATAGGTGACAGGGCTGCAAATAATGTGTCTGGGTCTACCATAGACCTTAGAAAATAAACAGGGGGTATTGTCATCCATTGGAATTACCTCTAGAAGTAGGTTGACAGTACTGACTTGGATCTCGCGCAGCCCAACTATCTGCACCACACGCTTGCTATCTTCCCGTGCAAAAAGCCTGCCAAAGAAGACGCGCGTTAGTAAAGAAAGTGCTTTTTGAAAACCGGTTTGACAGCAAAACCATCCCACGATGTGTTCTGAGCAGAATGCAATTGACATCTAACATCTGAAATGTAAAGAACAGCCAAAGGCGAACCAGCTCAGTAAGAAAACAAGCAGACAATCAAACAAGACAACCCAAACATATATAATGCATTTTATATTCCTAAAGTAGGAAAATGGCTTTCAACCTGTAAAGGGTGATCTATTGCAGTTTTTACTGTTTTTCTTAAAAAATCAAAAAAAATTCTGGAGGAATTGATTAACAAAATCAGGATTTTTCCTGATGTATATATGGGTCCCATTCTAATTACATTATGTAAAAAAAATGAGATTTTTTTTGTTCCTGATTTGAAAACATTATTTCCTGCTTAATAGTGCAGTCCTTACTTTGAAAGTAGTTGTTCTACTCCAGAAAGTTCGTTTTTGTGGCTGGCACAAACTAGGTTGAATTGGTTAAGACTCTATGAGATATTATTAGAAAAACTGTATCACGATAGACAAAGTTTGTGCGGTTTAATAAAACTTCTCCAGGTTTTTATGATAGAATCAATTAGGAAATGACATTTATAACCCAGGAACAAACATCGTGTTACATAGTGTTATGAAAGGGTTGTTGTTGTTGTTGGATGCCTTCAGGTTGTTTATGTTGTGAGCCTATCATGGGTTTTTGAGGGTATGAAAGTGTGTGACGTAGCAAGATTTGTTCAGAGGAAATTTGCCATGCCCTCCTTCTAAGGCTGAGAGAGTGTGACTCGCTCAGTGACCCAATGGGTTTCCACAGCAAAGCAGGGCATTGAACCCTGGTCTCCACAATCATAGTCCAACGCTCAAACCACCACCCCATGCTAGCAATAGCATGTCCCCTTTAGTCAGTCACTCTGGAGCATGCTCTGACTTACAAGAAGCACTGTTTGAATATCAAGCAAAAAAATAGAAATAGAAATAATATCACATGAAAGCTGACTGGCACAACCTGGGGATCACAACCAGGTCCAGTGAAGCCATCTGTCCTTGCACTTTGCTACTCAGCTGCTGAGTACACATGCTCAGCGTGGAACACATCTCACCACATTAAAACAGTGGATGTGGCTTTTAATGAGACATACTGCGTTATCACAGGATGTCTATGCCCCACAATGTCACTGGAAAAATTATACTGTTTAGTCGATATTGTAGAAGTCAATAATGAAAGGATCAAGGCAGCCAACCCCCTGTTCGGATATCCGCCAGCATGCCAATGTCTTAAATCAAGAAATAGCTTTTTATGATCTACAGAGATACTCGCAGGAACACCTCAGCACGTGAGAGTCCAAAAGTGGCAGGCTAAAACCCAGAACCTTAATAAGTGGCTGAGAGCAAATGAAAGACTCCTCCCTGGGCACACAGAAGACTGGGCGACATGGAAGGCACCACGAGATGCACCACAAGATGCAGAGCCAACCTTAAGAAATGGGGTCACAACATGCAAGTGTGGAGAAGAGCAAACTCCAGCCCTCCTACTACAATATAGCCTGAATCCTGCCACATGCACGAGGAGGAGCCTCTCACAGCGACATCAGGGGCACTTCAAGTGGCCAGCTACTGGTCAAAAGACATTTAGTATAATGCCAAGTTTTTAACTTTGTTTGTGTTTTAAATACATTTTAACTGTACCCTCGATTCACTTCTGGAGCAATCTATATAAATAAAAATGTAAAGTTCATTTGTGGGATTAACATATAAACAATTGGACGAATTGACACCAAATTTGGACACAATACACCTATCAGGCCAATGAGTAACCATCACTCATAAAAACACTGAAAAACACAAAGGAAGAGACTTAAAAAGCCAAAAAAGAAAAAAATTCATTACAACGCATGTGCAAAATATACACAAGCACACATATACACAAATATATACACACACAATACACATATATACAGACTGGGCCACAGCAACGCGTGGCAGGGGATGGCTAGTAAATAAATAAAAATTTAAAAAATACTGAAAATGGGGAGATAACGTCAATTCTACTTGACCCAAGTGGTTACTGACTGACCATAAATTGGTTTCATCCTATTTCAGCATGTCATCCATTCCATTGTGAATCACAATTCATAGCTGTAATTTCCCAACGGCAGCCCTGCATTTCATTTCACACTTGAAATGCACACAGTAGTTAGTTAGGCAGGACTGATTATACTGACGTCTAAATTATTATCTGCTGACTGCTCAGTTAACTACCCAGAGAAAGCTAGAGTGTCTCTGTGGAGTTCCTACAACATAATAAACCCAGTCCCTGTGCAAGAAAGCAGCTCCTTTGCTATGCAAACACCATCACGTTTCGAAGGTCACCTTGCTAAAGGAGGAAGAAAAGCGAATGTGATGGAGCCGTGCACGCGCTGCTACCTGTCATGATTTGAGAGAAAGTGATAATACTTGGGTTGGAGTACTTTTTAAAAAAATCTCTGTGCTGGCTAAGGAATCACAAGAAAAATTTGATTTTTTTTTTGTATTAAATGAGTAATGGCTAGAAATCCAGTTGTTGTACAACACCAGCGGTTACACTTTGTCCAGGATTTGCTTGTTGAATATCCTTCCTTTCTCCTGAAGGAAGGGAGGCAAATCTGCTAATTCGATGCAGAATCTGCAGCAGATGCTCTGCTTATGTACCTGGATGCACAGCAACAGGCATCTACTGTGGACATCTACTCTGGATATCTTGGAGAATGTGTAGTCCCTCATGCATCATGCTTTCCATAATCCAATAAATAGCAAAGCTTGAGTGATAAGCTAAAATGGGCAGGGGGAGGAAAATTGCCATAATTATATCTGATGCAACTTCAAATCAAATCCTCCTGATTAATGACTGGCAAAGAAAGACATGGGCAAACTTGGGCCCTCCAGGTGTTTTGGACTTCAACTCCCACAATTCCTAACAGTTGACAAGCTGGCTGGGGTTTCTGGGAGTTGAAGTTTAAAACACCTGGAGGACTAAAGTTTGGCCATGCCTGGGCTAAATATTAAAGTGACAGGAGCCCTGTCTCCTATATATCTTGGGAACTCTGTCAGTGCTTTATTTTCTCCATGGCCACTGTCCCTGCAGCCTTTTTCTTCCTGTCATGGCCACTGATGACACCAGTTACCCAGCATTCACACCAAGAGCATTACAAGCTATGATTACTAATACTTCTAAGGGAAGACAACAGACCAGGTTCCCTCTCCGACATACACATGGACTTTGTAGATCAGGCATGGGCAAACTTGGGTCCTCCCTCCAGGTGTTTTGGACTTCAACTCCCACGATTTCTAACAGCCTCATGTCGCTTCCTTCCACCCCTCAGCTGCTCAAGCTGGTAGGCTGTTAGAAATTATGGGAGTTGAAGCCCAAAACACCTGGAGGGAGGGCCCAAGTTGGCCCATGCCTGGCTCACGGGCTGTTACATGAACATTAATAAATGTTATATTACTAGCTGTCCCCTGCCAGGCGTTGCTGTGGCCCAGTCTGGTGATCTGGAAAATAAAGTAACGAGGAAGTGGTTTCTAATATTTGTAATGTCTTTCTGCTTGTGGGTAAACAGTATTTCTTGCTGTTTCTTTGTCAGTGTTGATGTAGAGATTGTCTGGTTTGCCTACTCTGGAATATATTATTGTCCTTCTTTAAGGGTCCCTTTCAAATATATGATATTATGTGTGTGTGTGAATCATATATATCTATCTGTATCTATGGCTGGATGACTCTTTGTCAGGAAAGCTTTGATTACATTTTTTTGCCCTGGTGAAGGGAGTTGGTCTGGATGGCGTTAAGTATTTTCTGTTGGTCATGGGGGTTCTGTGTGGGAAGTTTGCCCCAATTCTGTCGTTGGTAAGGTTCAGAATGCTCTTTGATTGTAGGTGAACTATAAATCCCAGTAACTATAACTCCAAAATGTCAAAGTCTATTTTCCCCAAACTCCATCTGTGTTCATATATGGGCATATGGAATATTCGTGCCAAGTTTGGTCCAGATCCATCATTGTTGGAGTCCACAGTGCTCTCTGGATGTAGGTGAACTACAACTCCCAAACTCAAGGTCAATGCCAACCAAACGTTCTGGTGTTTTCTGTTGGTCATGGGAGTCCTTTGTGCTAAGTTTGGCCCAATTCCATCATTGGTGGAGTTCAGAATGCTCTTTGATTGTAGTTGAACTATAAATCCCAGCAACTACAACTCCCAAATGACAAAATCAATTTTTGAGTGAAGGACATTCATTGGGTTGTTAGGTGTCTTGTGTCCAAATTTGATGTCAACTTGTCCAGTGGTTTTTGAGTTCTGTTAATCCCACAAACGAATATGACATTTTTATTTATATAGATGGACAGAAAGCTGAGTTAGCACACCAAAACAATGCATAGTAAATGCTGTTACCACTTTTTCATGCCAGCAGCTTTCCTTTCTGTTCAACTCAATTTGATTTACAGTCTCTGTTTCAAAAGCCACCTTCTCAGATTTGCGTACCTTTTCCTTCCATTGAGCAGGTCATAAAGCTGCCCACAGTAGATCTCGTAAAAACTGATCCAGACATGAAGATCTTTCCTGGTGGGGGATGTTTCCAATTGCCTGAAGATATCTTTGGCCGCCAGAGCATAGAGCCCTGGGCTTTGGTGAGTGCCAATCATCGTGTAGGTCTTGCCAGCCCCTGTCTGCCCGTAGGCAAAGCAAGTTGCATTGCCGCTGCAATGGAAAAGGGAAAAGCACCTTTAAAAATGTATTGTCGAAGGCTTTCTTTGCCAGAATCACTGGGTTGTTGTAGGTTTTTTCGGGCCATGTTCTAGAAGCATTCTCTCCTGACGTTTTGCCTGCATGTATAGCAAGCATCCTCAGAGGTAGTGAGGTCTGCTGGAACTAAGGAAATGGGTTTATATATCTGTGGACTGACCAGGGTGGGACAAAGGACTCTTGTCTGTTGGAGCTAGGTGTGAATATTTCAACTGACCACCTTGATTAGCATTTGATGGCCTGGCAGTGCCTGGCAATCTTTTGTTGAGAGGTGATTAGATCTCCCTGATTTTTTTTCTCTCTGTTGTTTTGCTGTTGTAATTTTAGAGTTTTTAAAATATGGGTAGCCAGATTTTGTTCATTTTCATGGTTTCCTCCTTTCTGTTGAAATTGTCCACATGCTTGTGGATTTCAATGGCTTCTCTGTGTAGTCTGACATGGTGGTTGTGAGAGTGGTCCAGCATCTATCAAATAATATGCTGTGTCCAGGTTGGTTCATTCACAACTAGCTCCAACAGACAAGAGTCCTTTGTCCCACCCTGGTCATTCCACAGATACATAAACCCCTTTTCCTAGTTCCAACAGAACTCACTACCTCTGAGGATGCTTTCCATAGATGCAGGCGAAACGTCAGGAGGAAATGCTTCTAGAACATGGCCATATAGCCCAAAAAAACCTACAACAACCCAATCAAATGCTAATCAAGGTGGTCAGTTGAAACATTCACACCTGGCTCCAGCAGACAAGAGTCCTTTGTCCCACCCTGGTCATTCCACAGATATATAAACCCTTTTTCCTAGTTCCAACAGACCTCACTACCTCTGAGGATGCTTGCCATAGATGCAGGCGAAACGTCAGGAGAGAATGCTTCTAGAACATGGCCGTATAGCCCAAAAAAACCTACAACAACCCAATCAAATGCTAATCAAGGTGGTCAGTTGAAACAATCACACCAAGCCCCAGCAGACAAGAGTCCTTTGTCCCACTCTGGTCATTCCACAGATATATAAACCCCTTTTCCTAGTTCCAACAGACCTATAACAACCTTTAAAAATCTTCCCCCATTAACATATAGATGATTAGGACAAAACAGGCATTTAATATGCAAATATAATGACCTGTTTTAAAACATAACACTCACAAAATAACCAACCTGCAAAGAAAAATGTGGTAAGGGTTTGAGAAAAATTCACAAGGAAGAAGGGTGAGCAGAGTGAAGAAGTGCATGAACCGTGCAAATATTTAAAGAGTTTTGCAGCCAATGCATCATGCGATGATGCCCTACCCGTTGAAAATGTGCTGGATGAGGGGGTGAGCGGTCTTCAGGTACACATCCTGATTGGAACAGGTCTCCCCAAAGACTTCATCAAAGTAAAACGCATGCTGAAAGAAGGAAAAGGCATAGTTGGGAAGAGAGGGATCTCACTCTTTTTCACTCTTTGGCATACAACCTTCCCCAGGGGCTGCAAACCAATAGATTTCAGCATATACAGGCCAAGGAGAGCACTCATTCATTTCACGTACTTCTTTTTGTGTCAGAAGCAAATTGAGAATGTCACTGGAAATAAAGCATGGGATGGAGTTAAAATTAAGATGTGGAGTTCATCTCAAACACCCTTAAATGGACAATGATGTTATGGACCTGTGCAGCATGAAGTTATAGCGTGAAATTCGGCGTAAGCCAGGTTTGGTCAATTTCAAATCAGTTTCTAGAAAGTTTGTATGCTTTTGTGGCATTTTGGTTGGCCGAAATGTATGGGTATTTGTCATACCATTACATCATGGGGCAATGCAGCTATCTTTGTTTCTTTATCTATAAAACAAGAAGTTTATGCATGGACCCTGGATCTAAATTTGAGGTTTTCCTTGAAACGATGGATCATTTGCCATGTATTGTCGAAGGCTTCCATGGCTGGAATCACTGGGTTGTAGGTTTTTTTGGGCTATATGGCCATGTTCTAGAAGCATTCTCTCCTGATGTTTCGCCTGCATCTATGGCAAGCATCCTCTGTTTTGGGGAAGGGGGAAAGTGTTCAGAAGCAGTAGTACACACTAGCTGTTAAATTTTGTGGGGTCAGATGGTGAAAATGCATGATGATTATGTCAGTGAAACTGTACTGGCTCCCTGAGAAGATTTAAATATGTTGTTTTTAACTTTCTCTTTTATCTGAATTTATGGCCATATTCCCTCACTGAGCCCAAATATCCACTAACCACTTTGGAAGAAGTTCCTTTTGCTCTGCATCTTCTACAAGGCCTAAACAAACAAAAAAAAACCCCACCCAAAAACAAAACCTAAAATAGCCATCATCCATTAGTCACACCCCAAAGGAAGCTTCCACTTTTAAAACTCTTCCACATTGCAAGATAGCATAGAATATTCAACAGTGTTGGCCCTTTGCTAAATATTCTGGATAGGGGTTTGTTTTAAGTCTTCTGTGTTTTGTAGGTTCAGGTTTATGTATTCTTTCACGTAACCTGAACATGCAAGTGGTTATTTTGAAGCTAGTCAAATTAAGTACAGATTTTAAAAGGTAGGACTTTTTAAATATGTGAGAGGAAGCCACAGGGAGGAGGGAGCAAGCTTGTTTTCTGCTTCCTTGGAGACTAGGACGCAACGGAACAATGGCTTCAAACTACAAGAGAGGAGATTCCATCTGAACATGAGGAAGAACTTCCTGACTGTGAGAGCCGTTCAGCAGTGGAACTCTCTGCCCCGGAGTGTGATGGAGGCTCCTTCTTTGGAAGCTTTTAAACAGAGGCTGGATGGCCATCTGTCAGGGGTGATTTGAATGCAATATTCCTGCTTCTTGGCAGAATGGGGTTGGACTGGATGGCCCATGAGGTCTCTTCCAACTCTTTGATTCTATGATTCTATGACTTTCATTTCTGTAGTGGAACAAGATTTTTAAAATCCCTGTTTTATGAACAATAGATTATTTTGATCCTTTCATTTGAAAAGTTTTCATACAATATGAAGAAAAAATGCCACCTGCAAAATGTACTGTGTGAGGTCCACTGCCTCCTTTTTCTCATGGAGCAGAAGAGTGTCCTTGTCTTCCACTGTGATGATGTTTACTTCTCCGCGCCGCTCCTCTCTCAAGCCGAGGGGACGCTTTCGCACACAAACACGGATCTTGTCCGTTTCAGTCCATGGAGTCTCTTTCTCAGAAGAAATAGATCTGCAGAACAAGGGACGTCAATGCGCAGTTAGAAAACGAACCCTTACTACACAAATTAAACCATACAAAGCAAGCGCATGTACAATTATCTTTGGTTTCAGATTTTTGAAATACAGTATTTGTTAAATTTGACCCATTTGCTACATACATGTGGGAGAGAATTATATCACTAATGTTCTTTGTATGCAATGGATTCCAAAGAAATTGTTGTTACCTGATACAAGAATGTGGCACTCCGTAATTATAACCCGAAACGTGAGCTACTCTTTGAACAAAGGGGGCTTCAATCTCCCCCAAAAGAGGGGCAATATCACTTGATGAGCTGATAACTGGAACGCCCACTTTGTATTCTGTCCACATCAAAGACTCTTTCCTGGGCCTTTCGTACTCAGCTTGATGACTGCTCAACACAGCAGACAAATCCTCTTTATCTTTGCTCCCAAAGCAACTAGATAATGCACACGGTCCAGGTTCAAGATTTTTCCTTCCATCTCCTTCGTCCAACAGGGAATCGAAGTGGAGTTGTCTCCGAGGGCCAGACCTAGACACTTGTGGCTGAAGACGGACAGCACCGGCCTGGAGACCCGCCTGCTTTCTCCCTGCGGTTGCTTCTTCTGCCTGCAGCATTCTGATGATTCGAATGAGCTGGAACAGACGCTTACGGTCCTTCATGTTGTGTACCCCCAGTTTGGCATAATCTTTCATGGAGACCTTGGCAAGTTCATCGATCCTCTGAAAACCAAGGGCAGTAAAATGGGGGTAATATTTTTCAAGTTCTGCCTCACACAGGCATTCGTACAAACATGAGGCCATCTTCAACGCAAAGTCTGATAAATAAATAAGACAAGAGGGGAAAAAAAGAAGTTAAAAAGTAGATTTTTTCACAATGGCTGTACTCCATCAAGCACGGCTGCCACTGAACTTCCTTCTCATAATGCTAACAGGCTTACTCATTGCAGGTATTCTAGGAGCAGGGCTTGAGAGACCAAGCCCCATGCAGGATAATTCCTACTATGCAGTCCCCACCCACTCTGCCCCAAGCTATGCCTGTAAATAGCTCAAAGGGCTCCATAATGCTAGGATAATATTCCAAGTGGCTCGGATTCTTCATTACTATCCCATACAATAATATATTAGATGTTGAAAATTACACACCACAGCATGACTCCGGTCATAATCCTATACAGTGGGAAAAAACATCAATGAGTATGGAAGATACTATTAAGCACACTTCAATATCATTGTTCTTGTACAGAACCAGCAACTAAAAGAAGTTCAAGTTCAAATCCCCACTCAATCATACCTTTGAGGCAGTTTTTCCTTCTCAGTCTTGTCCTAGAAGAACAAGAGCTTTCCAATCATTCTCAGAGAGCAAAAGGTGGAAGGAATATGAAGCTGAAGCTTTCTGGGTGGCTTATTACATCCCTCTGACTTATTTATTTATTTATTTACCTTATTTATAACCCGCTTGCCATAGATGCAGGCGAAACGTCAAGAGAATGCCTCTAGAACATGGCCATATAGCCCAAAAAAACCTACAACAACCCACTGTATCAGAATGGTTTTCTGATTACTGTTTGAGTTAGGATACACACAAGTCTTAATAAATACATTAAGGCTGTAGTCATATTGATTTAGACTGTGCCATTGTTTTCATCTAGTTATTGAAAAAGTTACGCAATGAGGACGCTTCCATACAGCCGTATAACTCAGAATATCAAGGCAGGAAATCCCACAATATCTGCTTGGAACTGGGGGCCCTTCCATACAGCCCTACATCCCAGAATATCAAGGCAGAAAACCCCACAATATTTTCTTGGAACAGGGTTATCTGAGTCTGCGTGGATGGCCCTGAGTCTCCCAGGGGCTCAGTAGCTCACTGGCATTGCTGGTCCAATATTGTTTTATTTGGACTCTGCTGGTATAAAAGAATACCGAGACAAGATAAGAGAACTGTGTAGCCAATGGCTTTATCAGTGTTTACAGAGCTGCGCATCCCATCACTTTGTTGCCGCAAGAAGGTCCTCCATTGTGCATGTGGCAGGGCTCAGGGTGCATTGCAGCAGGTGGTCTGTGGTTTGTTCTTCTCCGCACTCGCATGCCGAGGATTCCACCCTGTAGCCCCATTTCTTAAGATTGGCAACACCAGAGGCACTCCAAGTGGCCAGATACTGGTCAAAGGACATTTAACCAATTACCAAGTTTGCAAAATCTGTGTTTTTTCTTCTTCTTTTTAATCTGTGTGTTTGTTTTGTTCTGTTAGAATTGTAACACAATGGTATGGTTGCTGATGACACGATAAATAAATACATCACTTTGTTGATGTCATAAATATATATGCTTACAAAACCATGCTTGTAGATCACCCATGTAAAAGGAATCAGTTCCCACAACCCGCAAGACATCTGTTAAACCAATATTCTTAAAGATGGGAGAACGGGTACCATTTCACGCATTTCACTGAAAAGAAGAAGTTGGTCTTTGTTTATCCAGCCAGGAAGAGTCTGCAGTTTAGTTGCTTAAATTGTCATACACAAAAATTGTGCATGTCCATCAAGAGAGACTAAATTACATGCAAAAAAAATCACAGCAAACATCAAAACAATGCAGAGAGTCTGTACTTGAAATGCACTCACTTACTGGTATCTTCCCACCTTCTCCCACTTGTAAAGCCTGTGGAGCAAATGGCTCAAGCTTCAGACACACAGCTAGCTAGAGAAAGCAACAAGCCTAAATTTAGATCTGCCTCTTTGAGGCTAGTCACAGCCCCCCAAAGCCCTCTTTAGCCACCATCAGAGGCTGTGAAATAGATAGGTTGAACCAAATGGCAATTCCTATCGGCTGTTAGGAATTGTGGGAGTTGAACTCCAAAACCGTCTCACAGCGAGACCAGAGGCATTCCAAGTGGCCGGCTTCTGGTTAAAGGACATTTAGCATAATGCCAAGTTCTTTTTAAAACTTTGTTTGTGTTTTTAAATGCATTTTAATTGTACCCTCAACGCGCTTCTGACATAGTAAATAAATGAATAACTCCCAAACACCTGGAGGGAGGGAGGGCTGAAGTTTGCCCATGACTGCCTTAAGGTTAGGACATGAGGGACCAGCAGGATCTCCCCGTCCCTCTTCAAGAGGACCCCAATATTGTTCTGCATCAACAGAAGCATAGTGTCCACATGAAGGGAAGCAGTAGCACCATTACATTCTGCTTTGGTCCGATCTCATCTGAAAAGAGATATTAACATGCCGTAATGTGTTCAGGAAAAGATAACCAAAATCAACAAAATAAGGGTGCTGGGCATGTTTTAGCTCATGGAAGAGAACACTGAGGTGGGCTTGTAATAGAGATCTCTAAATCTCTGAAGGACAATCATACAAAAGATGAAGCGAGCTTGCTCTCCTCAGCTCTAGAGCATGAAGCAGTGGATTCAAATTAGAAGAAGAGGTTCCATCTAAACATTAGAAAGATCCTTATTGTGAAGGCTGCTCAGCAGTGGAATACATTGCCTTGGTAGATGGTGGACGTGCCTTCGGAGGTCTTCAAATAGAAAAAAAAGCATCTTTCAGGAGTGCTGTCGTTGTGTATTCCTGCATGGCAGGAGATTGCACTCAATGATCCTTGAGGTCCCTTCTATTTATATGATTTTATGAACTTCTCCTCCCAAATACAACAAGGGAAGTACAGCAGGAAGTTTCTCCCTCCAAGATCAATATTCCAGCTTCTTTTTCCACCTGCTGGTACACACAAGAGGCACTAACAATGTGCTCATATCAATATTTGTTAAAGCCACATAATTTGATTATATATTCATGAGACAATATCAAAAGTTATACAAAAAAGAGACTCAATGTTCAAAGCTGCAACCATTCCATACTTTGACTAAAAGGTATCAGTTCTTCCAGACAGACAATCCTGCAGCAAAGCAGGCTTCCCAATAAATGGGTTCATAAGATATGATGGCACAACGGGTGGAGATCTGGGAGGAATTTGTCACCCAGATTTAAACTTCGGCTCAAACAGCAGCAGCTGTTGTATTTGCATGTGTATGCATGAACTAAGATATCGCATAGTAGAACAAGACAGACAAACTGAATGGCTGGCTGGTCCTATTTGACCAAACACATGAAAACACTTCCTTCACTGACTGAGAGAACTGGGTTCAATTTGCAACTTCATACTGCAAACCTATGTATTAGAGTCATACATATTTTCAGTGAGGATACAAGAAGAAACTCAGCAGCCATGTTTAGGAGGAGGAAGAAGAAGAAAAACCAGGAGAATGACAGCAGAGGAAGCAATTCTGTATACACCTGATGGGGTCAAAACTCATTTGATTTATCTGTCTTGAATTTCCCACCTTTCAGATGACCCTAGATTCTAATATTACGTTTTCACTATCTACGTTCATCACATTAGGCATTGTTTTATAACTTTCTATGTCCTCCAGCTCACAAGATGTGATACAGGACAAAAGTGGGTAGGGAAGAAAAGCATGTCTCCAAATCACAAGTTTACAACTGATCTTCTAATGTGCAGATGACTATCACTTGATGCTCACAGGGAATTACTCTGGTTTTCTTGCAGCCTTCTATATTGTTTACAGTTAATGAAGAAATGTGCCTGCTGATTCAAATTGTCAAGTTTTTCAGTTACATGCTCAATTCAACACATACTAATTTAGTCTTTTCATTCAGCATAAGTGCTGTAAATTGTAAAGGCAGGTGGAAAACACTTGTTTTTAAAAAAGGAGAAAAATTTATTATGATTCATGCTCACGCTGTATATAGAATTTTGCCGATAAACATTTGCCTTTACTACCTTCAACTCAAAAAATGTAGTCAATTTATCCACTTCCTGGCCAATTTTATCCATTTCCCTTGTAAATCTTTATCCATTTTCTAATCACTCTTTCCCTATAACTTTAGCTGATGATCTCACTGAACAACCCTCCGCGCCACAACTGATGCAACAACTGCTTTGAGACAACAGCTGTTGCAGGGTATGAAAACGTCTCATTTTCATGGTGCATGCATAAAATAAATCTGTTATTCTGGGTGGGTGATTATTTTAAAGTTGTGCTTGATTCTTTCCAGTAAGCAGTGCCACCAGAAATGCAAATCTGTTTCTATATAAAGGAAATGTGTTGTTATATACATAGGTACAACTTCATTCCTTGTGTTTTGGTTGCTGTGTTAGTGGTTTCTGTTACATGGCAACCAGTTTCTTCCTTTCAAGTTAAAGCAGAGGGGGCTGGTTAGACTTCACCAAGAGCTTCCTGCTTCAGCTTGAGCTGGGAGAGGGACATTCCAAAGCCCTAAAATGTCCTCTGAGTTATGGCATTGGGAATTATGCCTATGGCAGGTCCAGCAAGTGAACAACCAAGAAAGTATGGAGGACATGTTGCACTTCATTGAATGCTGCATTTCATTTTCTTTGCCCACAGTGAAAAGCAGGATGCAACACCAAGACTGTATGGTAAAGCACACCGTTCACTACCAAGACCCTAAAATGTGCTCCCTCCATTCCAACTGCCACAGCTCTGGCCCGGGAAAGGAGATGCAAGCACAGCTCCATGTCCCACAAGCAAATGAAAGGCCATCCGCCCTTCATACCAACTGCCCCTGTTGTGGGCTCAGAAAGAACAGGCAGCACAGCTCCATCATGGCTAGGCCGAGGAGGAGAAGAAAGCCCCCCCCCCCCCATTCCAACTGCCATAGCCCAAGCGTCAGAGGAAAAAGAGGAGGATCAGGCATGGGTCCATTATGCTTAAGGCTTCCCTCCATCCTAACCGCCACAGTCCTGGTCTCAGAGGGAGAGAAGCAGCATCAGCATCTGCTAGACTTAATTCCCTCCTCCACTTCCATCCTCTTTTTGTGTGCATCCTGCTTTCAGACCGCTTATGGGATGAAACATTGCTGCTTGGAAGTTTCAGTGAGACTCTTTCCTAATATCTTGTAGAGTCTAAAGAAGGTGGAAATTCTTCAACACAGTAAATCCACTTGGAGGCTGAATAAAAGAATAACGGAACTCTTCTCAAGAGACTCAAAAAGCTGAATAACAGAACTCTTCTCAAGAGATTCAGAAAGCATTTTGCTCTGCCTTGCAAGAAAGTTTAGTCAAGGTGGAAGAGCTCAGAACCTAATTTGCATCCCAAAGACATAAAAACATTACATGAAAGTAGTAAAGGAACAGGACAGCCAATTCGTTCATTGCAATCTCCCTTCTCATTTCAAGGAAAGTGGAGAACCAAAAACCAGAGATCCTCTCAAGGTATAAAGGAAAAGAGAGATTCCCGTACTCTCACTGGTATTCCACACCAAACCAGATAGAAATATGAAAAATAATTCCGAAGCCCTCTTCATTTCCAACTGTACGAAAACTGTATACTCAGAGAGAAGCTAATTTCACCACAGCATGGTCTTGTCTGGAAAATACATTGTCTACAAACATTATAACATCCCCATCAGTGTAATTAGTTTGTTTGCATCTATTCTAAAATGTTGACACCTGCACAATAGCTCAAGTGTTAAATGTCTGTGTAGCAAAGATTCTGCACGTGAAACAAGATAGGCAAATGCAAAATGGAATAAGCACTTACTTATTACATTTTTATTCTCTCTTTCCTCCCAGGAGCTTGGAATGGCATCCACAGTTCCTACCACCCATGTCAGCTTCAGAAAAATCTTGTGAGTAAAGTAAGATAAAATGCCTGGATGAAAGTCAGCCAATAGTCTTAGGAACTTGAGAGCTGAAAGGGACAAAAAGGGTCAGTCTAGTCCAAATCCCTGCTTCATGGTGGATTGCAATCTTCAGGAGCATCTCTCTACTTCTAGCCCGCCACTGTAGTGACTCCACTGGTCCTCAGGTATCACTCTATGATGGAAAGTAAAAGGCCCAGTAAGACGATAGGAAAACAGTGAAGTAATCTCTTCCCAAGTAATCATTGTAATCCTCACAGTAATCTCTGTTTAGAGGAGTCCAGCCCAACAGCATAACATAACAATAGTAAAATAAAACACAAGGAAGTCAGTGCGTAGACCTGAGCTGGGATTTATGTCTGTGCCAATCCAATTAGTAGTGCAGAACTACCCACTTTAAGAAAAATAAAAAGCTTATGTGCTTTGCAGCAGCAAAACCTCACCTTAGAATCTAGGGTGACAAGCTTCATTTTAGACCTTAAGATACAGGCCAAACCGCAGCCCAGTGTCTGGACCTAATCCAATAAAGGCAACAAACAACTTGGATCTGGAAATTCACAATTTAAATCCATGAAATAGCCTGGGAAACATCCTGTTAGTGACATACACATTCATAGTTCTGGCCTGCATGTGTGCCACCTGTTTTAGGTGGGAGGCAGAGGCAATTTTCTTCACCTATCAAGTCCTAAGAGGGGAACACTGCCAATGTTTTCTAACAAGGAGGGAGGGGGTAATTCGGATATGGAAGAATTGGTGGCTCTTGTTCTCCAAGGAAAAGGAAGACACGCTTTCACTGTAGCCCCTTCTCCATAGCTGAGATCAGATACTTCCTCCTCTGAATGACCTCCTTCCTCCCACATCTCCCAATCACTGCAACAGCAGGACTTTCAGAGCTGCTGGAGTGGAGGAATCACCCAAAAATGAGTAGGCAGTGCATTGTACTCTACCTGGTCAGTGCTCTCTTCCAGTCTAATGTCTTTCCTGGAGCTGCAGTAGAAATGTTCAGAGGAAGCCGGAATGAATGCCCTGCCCTGCAACTTGCAGAAGCTCTAGCCAGCCTAGTTGACCATAAGGACTTCTGAGAACTACAGCCCAATGACAACAGGAGGATCACGATTCCCTAACACAGTTCAGGTTTGCCTTTATTGATGGACATGCATCACTGAATTCTAACATCTTCAGTGGTACCAATCACCTTACATTGTCTGCTACTGGTGGGGCCAGTGTATCCCTCCAGGTCACAATTCTTCACAGCCTGGTACATCCCATCTAGATTACTGCACTGCACAAAGATTTCTCTTTGGAAGGTAATTTGGCATGGCTGCTCTTGGTTCAAAAATCACCGGATTATTGAGTGGAACTAGGTGAAAGGAAGACAGCAGTGATGATTCCTAACCAAATCCAAATTCCTGGCATTGAAGTTTAATGACTGGCCTTTTCTTATATAAAAATCTCTTCTAATGAAATAGAAGAGTGAAATAGACTAAAGAGCACATTTTCCATTATAAAGCATTATAAGGCCAATGCCACCTCACACTTTTAACTGGATTATTTTAAAGGATTTCAAAGTGAGAACTGAGTGCATTATCTTTTGTGACAAAGCTCCTAAAGAAGAATTTAACTCCTAAAGTGCCCTAAAATACATGTGAACCACTGAGAGTGCAAATGCATTGTTCCTATTGTCAGTATTATCACATATTTATATATTGCCAAAAATGACATAGCACTTGATAAGTTCAACTACCCAAAACATACACAAGCCACTCTAAACACCTTTGCAGAAGCATACAAAAAGCTTGGCCTCTCACTGAACACCAAAAAAATCAAAGTGCTATTTCACCAAAAGGCACCAGCCAATCCCTTTGCAATGCCAGAAATACAACTTTATGGTGTAACGTTAGAAAACTCTGACCATTTCCGCTACCTTGGCAGCCACCTCTCCAGAAAAGTCAACATCAACACTGAAATACAACACTGGAAGGCACACTGAAACATCTATGTCTTCAAGCTCCTTCTAAAAACTGCCAGCGTTGGGGCCTGCCTGATGTCCTTGGGGAGGGAGTTCCAGAGTCGCAGGGCCACCACCAAAAAGGCCCTGACCCTCGTCCCCACCAATCACGCTTATATTATGCTATTTCCTTCTGTATTTTATAATGTCTTTTACGATATATATATATATATATATATATATATATATATAATTATATTATTCTATTTCTGTGTATGTGCATATCATAGAATAATAGAATCACAGAATCAAAGAGTTGGAAGAGACATCATGGGCCATCCAGTCCAACCCCTTTGCCAAGAAGCAGGAATATTGCATTCAAATCACCCCTGACAGATGGCCATCCAGCCTCTGTTTAAAAGCTTCCAAAGAAGGAGCCTCCACCACACTCTGGGGCAGAGAGTTCCACTGCTGAACGGCTCTCACAGTCAGGAAGTTCTTCCTCATGTTCAGATGGAATCTCCTCTCTTGTAGTTTGAAGCCATTGTTCCGCGTCCTAGTCTCCAGGGAAGCAGAAAACAAGCTTGCTCCCTCCTCCATGTGGCTTCCTCTCACATATTTATACATGGCTATCATATCTCCTCTCAGCCTTCTCTTCTTCAGGCTAAACATGCCCAGCTCCTTAAGCCGCTCCTCATAGGGCTTGTTCTCCAGACCCTTGATCATTTTAGTCGCCCTCTGGACACATTCCAGCTTGTCAATATCTCTCTTGAATTGTGGTGCCCAGAATTGGACACAATATTCCAGGTGTGGTCTAACCAAGGCGGAATAGAGCATGGGGGAGCATGACTTTTTCACGCTTTTTAAGACACAACTTTCTGTAACAGCCAAGATGTTAACTGCATTTGTTCCCATTCTATTTCATAGAATCAGTAGCTGTCCCCTGCCACGCGTTGCTGTGGCCCAGTCTCTCTTGAATTGTGGTGCCCAGAATTGGACACAATATTCCAGGTGTGGTCTAACCAAAGCGTATGTAAATTATATATATATATATATATATATATATATATATATATATATATCTCCACACACACACACATGTACACACAAAGAGAGGGGAGGTATAATTAAACAAAAACTCAATAACATAATTATAAACCAAATGATCTAGGTAAAATTGGAAAAAGCATATAGATATTGTCGAAGGCTTTCATGGCTGGAATCACTAGGTTCTTGTGGGTTTTTTCGGGCTATAGAGCCATGTTCTAGAGGCATTTCTCCTGACGTGACCACTGACCGCATAGGGAAGCTGATGAGGAAACACAACACACAAACAATCTACAAACCCACCAAGAAAATCCAACAAATGCTACGTTCAGCAAAGGACAAGAGGGATCCTCTCACCTCTGCAGGAGTCTACCGTATACCATGCAGCTGTGGACAAGTCTACATAGGGACCACCAAACGCAGCGCCCAGACACGCATCAAGGAACATGAAAGGCACTGCAGACTCCTTCAACCAGAGAAATCAGCCATAGCAGAGCACCTGATGAACCAACCTGGACACAGCAATTTATTTGAGAACACAGAAATGCTGGACCACTCTCACAACCACCATGTCAGACTACACAGAGAAGCCACTGAAATCCACAAGCATGTGGACAATTTCAACAGAAAGGAGGAAACCATGAAAATGAACAAAATCTGGCTACCAGTATTAAAAAACTCTAAAATTACAACAGCAAAACAACAGAGAGGAAACAATCAGGCACAGATTAACACCTCCCAGCAAGAGATTTTCCCAGGCTCAGGCAGGCCTTCAAATGCTAATGAAGGCGATCAGCTGAAACATTCACACCTAGCTCCAGCAGACAAGAGTCCTTTGTCCCACCCTGGTCTTTTCCACAGATATATAAACCCATTTTCTTAGTTCCAACAGACCTCACTACCTCTGAGGATGCTTGCCATAGATGCAGGCGAAACGTCAGGAGAGAACGCTTCTAGAACATGACCCTATAGCCCGAAAAAACCCACAAGAACCTAGCATATAGATAGATAGATATAGATATAAATCCAGATCAATTTAGCGTTACCTCTCACTCATTTCCTTCATAAACCGCTTGTCACTATGGCGACAGGAAAGCAGAGGCCTAGTCTTGCTGTCAACAAAAAAGAAACAGGCTCGAAATCACTTGTGAATACAAAAATACGTGAAGGAAGGCCGCAAGCAAGCAAGGCTGAGGCGAACTCGAGAGGCGCTGCCTAGGCCGCGCGTTTCCAAGGCAACGCCGCCAAGCGTGGCGTTCAAAGCCTCGCGCCCGCACGCCGCGCCGGCGACGTCCACAAAACCACCCAATGGGAATCCAGCAAGCGAAAGGGGCAGGGCTACATCCGACCAATCAAGAAAGCGGACGTAAAGTCTCAGTCTCCGCCCCTTTATTCGCTTCTTCCGTCTCTCAAGTTTAGCTAGACTTGTCATCCTCCGTCCAATGAGGAAAGAGGCTCACCTTTTCCCTCTGATTGGTGGATCCGACTGTCAATCTTAGTTTGAAATCGAATCAAAGCTCCGTTTTTAATACACCGCTCCGCCCTCGCTGCTCGGTCACGTCAAAGGCGGGCAACTGTTGCTAGGGCAACCACGTAGCTCCCCCCAATTGGTGAATCTGCCTGTCAATCTTAGTTTGAAATCTAATCAAAGCTCTGTTTTTAATACACCGCTCCGCCCTCGCTGCTCGGTCACGTCAAAGGCGGGCAATTGTTGCTAAGGTAACCGTATTGCCTCATTCTGATTGGATGCATCGATTGCAGCGCTGGTTGACACGGAGATTGACAAGCTTGTGGACCAATCAGGAGGCTCCATTGTAGTTAGGCTATGTGCAGGTCTTTCCTTGTAGTCTTTAAAGGAGGAAACAGCCTGATTGGGTGAGTTAAGTCATTTTCTTAAAATCTTTCATTTAGTGTGTAATAAATGAAATATTATTTAGTGTATTTATTTCTATATTAAATTTTATTGGATTTCATAGGTTAAACTTGCAGTTTAAAATTAAACTATCAAAATATTGCTATTATTAATATAATAATAAATATTATTATGATTATTATGATTTCCACCAGAATGGAAATTATCTTTTGGACAGATGGCAAGCTATTTAACCTCAGCAGATTGGAAGCCAAAACGAAGGTCATAACAACATCAGCTATAGAACTCCAATATGCTGATGATAACATACTCAGTGCGCATTCAGAAGAAGACCTACACGCCTTTGCAGAAATATATGAGATATTCTCTCTCCAGACAAAGGATGCAACTGTTCTATTACTTGATTGATGACATGATGGCAACAGTCTTAGACAGCAGTAGTTTTTATGTAAAAACTCCAACCATCACCCAAGTCAAAAAAAGAAGCCCCATTAAAGCCTTGGCAGACCGTGCAAAAAGAATCTGCGAACCCCACCTCCTCCAAGATGAACTGAACCACCTCAACTGGGCTCTACAGGCCAATGGATACTCCACCTCAGACATCAGAAGAGCTGCAAGACCAAGAACAAGCCACAAAGGTAAAGACAAAGATCCACCCAGAGGAAAAGTGTTCTTGCCATACATCAAGGGAAACACTGACCGCATTGGGAAGCTGATGAGGAAACACAACATACAAACTATCTACAGACCACCAAGAAAATCCAACAAATGCTACGTTCAGCAAAGGACAAGAGGGATCCTCTCACTTCTGCAGGAGTCTACCGTATACCATGCAGCTGTGGACAAGTCTACATAGGGACCACCAAACGCAGCATTGCCCAAACACGAATCAAGGAACATGAAAGGCACTGCAGACTACTTCAACCAGAGAAGTCAGCCATAGCAGAGCACCTGATGAACCAGCCTGGACACAGCATATTATTTGAGAACACAGAAATGCTGGACCACATCAACAACCACCATGTCAGACTACACAGAGAAGCCATTGAAATCCACAAGCATGTGGACAATTTCAACAGAAAGGAGGAGACCATGAAAATGAACAAAATCTGGCTCCCAGTATTAAAAAACTCTAAAATTACAACAGCAAAACAGCAGAGAGGAAACAACCAGGCACATCTTAACACCTCTCAACAAAAGATTTTCCCAGGCTCAGCCAGGCCTTCAAATGCTAATGAAGGTGATCAGTTGAAACATTCACACCTAGCTACAGCAGGGAAGAGCTCCTTGCCCCACCCCAGCCATTCCACAGATATATAAACCCATTGTCCTAATTCCAACAGACCTCACTACCTCTGAGGATGCTTGCCATAGATGCAGGCGAAACGTCAGGAGAAATGCCTCTAGAACATGGCCATATAGCCCGAAAAAACCCACAAGAACCTAGTGATTCCAGCCATGAAAGCCTTCGACAATACAAGGAATGATGTGTTATTGCCCCAACTTTATTCTCCATCTTCATCGCTATGATACTTCACCTTGTTGATGGGAAGCTTCCCACCGGAGTGGAAATCATCTATCGGACAGATGGCAAGCTATTTAACCTCAGCAGACTGAAAGCCAAAACCAAGGTTACAACAACATCTGTTATAGAACTCCAATATGCTGATGACAACGTCGTCTATGTGCATTCAGAAGAAGATCTACATGCCACTTTAAACACCTTCGCAGAAGCATACGAGAAGCTCGGCCTGTCATTAAACATTGAGAAAACCAAAGTGCTCTTCAGCAGTCACCAGCCAATCCCTCTCCAATGCCAGAAATACAGCTTAATGGTGTAACATTAGAAAATGTTGACAATTTCTGCTACCTTGGCAGCCACCTCTCCACCAAAGTCAACATTGACACTGAATTACAACATCGCCTGAGCTCTGCAAGTGCAGCATTTTTCAGAATGAAGCAGAATGTTTTTGAGGATTGGGACATCCGTAGGGAGATCAAGGTGCTTGTTTATAAAGCCTGTGAAACACTCCCTGCTTCATGCACTTTGATTTTCTTGATGTTCAGTAAGAGGCCGAGCTTCTTGTATGCTTCTGCAAGCTGCTTAGAGTGGCTGGTGGGTCTTCTTCTGAATGCACGCAGAGTGCGTTGTCATATATATATAGCATTATATATTTCTGTATTGTTCTGTATCGCTATACTGCAATATTATTATCCACCAAAGTCATCACTGACATTGAAATATAGCACTGCCTGAGCTCTGCGAGTGCAGCATTTTTCTGAATGAAGCACAGAGTGTTTGAGGTTTGGGTCATCCATAGGCTTGTTTATAAAGCGATTGTCCTCCCAACCCTGCTATATCCCTGCAAAACGTGGACTGTCTACAGACATCACACTCAACTCCTGGAATGATTCCATCAGCGTTGACTCCGAAAAATCCTGCAAATCTCTTGAGAAGACAGGCGGACAAATGTCAACATGTTGGAAGAAGCAAAGACCACCAGCATTGAAGTGGTGGTCCTCCACTATCAACTCCGCTGGTCCGGCCACATTGTCCAAATGCTTGACCACCGTCTCCCAAAGCAGTTGCTCTATTCCGAACTCCCCTCCACTAGACTTGCCACGTTGTCTGAATGCCGATCACTGTAGTTACTCTACTCTCAACTCAAGAACGGAAACCATAATGTTGGAGGACAGGAAAAGAGATTGAAATATGGGCTCAAAGCCAACCTTAAAAACTGTGGCATAGACTCTAGGATTCTCCCAACCTAGCAGTTCGAAAACATGCAAATGTAGTAGATCAATAGGTACCGCTCCAGCGGGAAGGTAACGCCGCTCCATGCAGTCATGCCGGCCACATGACCTTGAAGGTGCCTATGGACAACGCTGGCTCTTCGGCTTAGAACTGGAGATGAGCACCACACCCCAGAGTCAGACATGACTGGACTTAATGTCAGGGGACTACCTTTACCTTTAGACTCTAGGAAGCCCTGGCCCTTGAGCGCTCTAGCTGGAAGTCAGCTGTGACCAGCAGTGCTGCGAAATTTGAAGAGGCACGAATGGAGGGCGAAAGGGAGAAACGTGCCAAGAGGAAGGCATGTCAAGCCAACCCTGACTGGAACCACCTTCCACCTGGAAACTGATGTCCTCACTGCGGGAGAACATGCAGGTCAAGAATAGGGCTCCACAGTCACCTACGTTTTCACTGCCAAGCCACTCCACTTGGAAGGCCATCATACTTGGACAATGAGGGATCGCCTAAGTAAGTAAAGTAAGTAAGCAAGTATTATGATTAAATGTTTTTTATAAAATGAAATATAATCCAGATTATCAAAGCACAAAATCCACAACATCTGCTTTGAACCGGATAAGTCTGCACTGCTATATAATCTTCTAAATTTTGGGCCTCCAGGTGTTTTGGACTTCAACTCCCACAATTCCTAACAGCCAGTAGGCAATTAGGAATTGCGGGAGTTGAAGTCCAAAACACTTGGAGGGAAGGACAAAGTTGATCCATGTCTGGTGTAAATGCATGTTTAGTATCTCTTCTGGAGCTTCTTCCATTTGTTCTGAACAGGGCCAGCATGAGCGTCAGAGCGTGCGGCTTGATCATCTTCAGGAAACTTCAGGAGCTCTCCTCTGCTTCCACCATTGAATTCCTCCTCCTTCAGACCTCCTATGGAAGCCACCACTGGAGTCCTCCAAAAGGTGAATGTTTATGCCTCTTAACCAAAGGACTTCCTAATAATGATGATGATAATAATAATAATAATAATAATAATAATAATAATAATCTATATAAATAAAATGTAATGTTCGTTTGTGGGATTAACAGAACTCAAAAACCACTGGACGAATTGACACCAAATTTGGACATAAGACACCTAACAACCCAATGTATATCCTTCACTCCAAAAAAAATGATTTTGACATTTGGGAATTGTAGTTGCTGGGATTTATAGTTCACCTACAATCAAAGAGGATTCTGAACTCCACCAATGATGGAATTGAACCAAATGTGGTACACAGGACTCCCATGCCCAATAGAAAACACTAGAAGGGTTTGGTGGACATTGACCTTGAGTTTGGGAGTTATAGTTCACCTACATCCAGAGAGCACTGCGGACTCAAACAAGGATGGATCTGGACCAAACTTGGCATGAATATACCAGATACCCAAATATGAACACAGATGGAGTTTGGGGAGAATAGACCTTGACACTTGGGAGTTGAAGTCGCTGGGATTTATAGTTCACATACAATCAAAGAGCATTCTGAACCTCACCAATGACAGAATTGGGGCAAACTTCCCACACAGAGCCCCCATGATCAATAGAAAATACTTAAGGCCATCCAGTCCAACTCCCTTCACCAGGGCAAGAAAACGTAATCAAAGCCCTCCTGACAAAGAGCCATCCAGCCATAGATATAGATAGAGATATATGATTCACACACAGAGAGATATAGTATCATAGATTTGAAAGGGCCCCCTACAGAAGGACAATTATATGTTGCATGTTCCAGAGTAGGCAAACCAGACAATCTCTATATCAACACTGACAAAGAAACAACAAGAAATACTGTTTACCCACAAGCAGAAAGAAATTATTTATATTAGAAACCAACACTTTCTCATTACTTTCCAGATTACCAAACTGTGCCACAGCAATGCGTGACGGGGATGGCTACTACTACTACTACTACTAATAATAATAGGATCCTAGAGTTGGAAGGGACCCATAGAGGTCATCCAGCCCAACCTCCTTTTTTTCTACCTTCATGCAAAAAAAGCATAGTAACCTTGCCTCTGTTTATATATTGTCTGCCTTTATTAATTGTATAACGGCATTGAATGTTTGTCATATATGTATTCTCTAATCCGCTCTGAGTCCCCTCAAAGACATAGGGCAGAATATAATTGAAGTTGTTGTTATTATTATTATTAATATTATTATTATTATTATTAGCTGTCCCCTGCCACGTGTTACTGTGGCCCATTCTGGTGATCTGGAAAATGAAGTAATGAGAAAGTTTTGGTTTCTTTTTATTATTTATTTGTTTACTATGCTTCTATACCGCCATTCTCAGCCCGAGGGCAACTCATGGCGGTTTACAAAGCGGCACAATTCAATGCCAACAGCAGTACAAAGATAATTTAAACATTAAAAACATTTAACATGGATAAAAAAATTCATTACAATTAACACCAATAAACATAATAAAAACCGTAAGTCCTCCGCATTTCATTACCAGTCATTATTCAGTCACGTTGTCCAACCGTTCCGAGATCAGAGTTTCATAGCTACACTGCGTTTGGGAAAGCCTGCTCATATAGCCAGGTTTTAACTTTTTTGCGAAACATTAAGAGGGTGGGGGCTGATTTAATGTCCCTGGGGAGGGCATTCCACAACTGAGGGGCCACTGCTGAGAAGGCCCTATCCCTCGTCCCCGCCAATCGAACCTGTGAAGATGGCAGGGCCGAGAGCAGGGCCTCCCCAGAAGATCTTAAATTCCTAGAGGATTCGTAAGGAGAGATACGTTCGGACAGGTAAGCAGGGCCAGAACCGTTTAGGGCTTTACAGGCTAAAGCCATTACATATGTAATGTCTTTCTGCTTGTGGGTAAACAGTATTTCTGCAGTTTCTTTGTCAGTGTTGATGTGGAGATTGTCTGGTTTGCCTGCTCTGGAACAGGCAACATATAATTGTCCTTCTTTAGGGGTCCTTTCAAATCTATGATACTGTATCTGTGTGTGAGTGAATCATATATCTATCTATCTATATCTATGGATGGATGGCTCTTTGTCAGGAAGGCTTTGATGATGTTTTCTTGCCCTGGTGAAGGCAGTTGGACAGGATGGCCTTAAGTATTTTCTGTTGGTCATGGGGGTTCAGTGTGGGAAGTTTGCCCCAATTCTCTTGTTGGTGGAGTTCAGCATGCTCTTTGATTGTAGGTGAACTATAAATCCCAGTAACTACAACTCCCAAATGTCAAGGTCTATTTCCCCCAAACTCCACCTGTGTTCATATTTGGGCATATGGAATATTTGTGTCAAGTTTGGTCCAGATCCATCACTGTTTGATTCCACAGTGCTCTCTAGATGTAGGTGAACTAAGACTCCCAAACTCAAGGTCAATGCCCACCAAACCCTTCTAGTCTTTTCTGTTGCTCATGGGAGTTCTGTGTGCCAAATGTGGTTCAATTTCATCATTGGTGGAGTTCAGCATGCTCTTTGATTGTAAGTAAACTATAAATCCCAACAACTACAACTCTCAAATGGCAAAATCTTTTTTTTTTTTTGTGAAGGACATACATCGTGTCGAAATTTGGTGTCAATTCCCCCAGTGGTTTTTGAGTTATATTAATTCCACAAACGAACATTACATTTTTATTTATATAGATTATTATTATTTCTGACTTCTCACCTCTGTCCATCAGGCCACGTTGATCCCGGGGAAGATGACCTGCAAACAGCCCTCCGGGAGACAAAGGAAGAGGCTGGGCTGGACGCCTCCCAGTTCACCATCCTGGACGGGTTTAGGAAAGAGCTGAACTATACTGCCAATGGGAAACCCAAGACCGTCGTCTACTGGCTGGCTGAGATGAAGGACAGCAACGCAGAGATCAAGCTCTCTTCGGAGCACATAGCTTTCCGTTGGCTGAGCCTCGGCGAGGCTTGCAAGCTGGCAGAGTTCCTGGACATGCAAAGCACATTGAAGGAGGCGCATCAGTTCCTCTGCTCCAAAGTATGACATTGTCAGAAGAATGGTTAGTGTGCTACATCCATAAAAATAAACCATGGGCTACTAGTAAAATACAAGTCTCTTCCAGTTTTACTAGAACAGTTGAAATCCAAAACACCTGGAGGGAGGGCCCAAGTTTGCCAGTGCCGGTGCCAGAGTGATCACGTATTGCTACTTAAGACTGGAGCATGTTTTGACCTATGTCATCGTGTTTCCATTGCCTTTCTCACGCTTCTGCAATCTTGTGTTGCTTTTTCTCTCCATCAACCGTGTGGTGTTGCTTGTACATGCAATATATATAAGCTATTACTTACTTACTTACTTAGGCGATCCCTCGCTTTCCGAGGATGATTGTCTTCCAATATTCTTGTGGGTCCGTATGTGGCTGTGGAGCCCTATTCTTGCTCTGCATCTTCTTCCGCAGTGAGGGCATTGGTTTCCAGGTGGAAGGCGGTCTCGGCCGGGGTTGGCTTGACGCGCCTTCCTCTTGGCACGTTTCTCTTTTTCACCCTCCACTCGTGCCTCCTCAAATTCTGCAGCACTGCTGGTCACAGCTGACCTCCAGCTGGAGCGGTCAAGGGCCAGGGCTTCCCAGTTCTCAGTGTCTATGCCAGAGTTTTTAAGGTTGGCTTTGAGCCATCTTTAAATCTCTTTTCCTGTCCTCCAACATTCCGTTTTCCATTCTTGAGTTCGGAGTAGAGCAACTGCTTTGGGAGACGGTGGTCGGGCATCCGGACAACATGGCCGGTCCAGCGGAGTTGATGGTGGAGGACCATCGCTTCAATGCTGGTGGTCTTTGCTTCTTCCAGCACACTGACGTTTGTCCGCTTGTCTTCCCAAGAGATTTGCAGGATTTTCCGGAGGCAGCGCTGATGGAATCGTTCCAGGAGTTGCATGTGACGTCTGTAGACAGTCCACGTCTCACAGGCATAGAGCAGGGTTGGGAGACAATAGCTTTATAAACAAGCATATATAAGCTATAAGCTATATATTATATATATATTATATAAGCTATAAGCTGGCACAGGTGGCCTCGGTCAGGGCCTCCTTAGTTCCATCCCTCCCAGGCCAGCACTCACCTGTCTCAAGTACTTGAAACACACCACACTTTTAATTACCCACAACCCCCCAGACCGAGGACCAGCTCAGCTTTCCATGGGAGAAATGGCTTTCAGAAAGCTATCTTCCAATCCCTGTGGAGAACTCATGGCCTGGAGTTTGGACTAGATGGCCTTTATGGCCTCTTCCAATGCTTTGAGTTTATTAATTCTATTAATGTATGTTTCCTCCTGTATGAGGTTGGCTGGTGAAAAAGAACAAGGAACACTTGTTGAAATTCCCTCTTCTGAGTTTCCACAAAGGTTTTTGAAAATATCTAAACTTAGTTTGGGAGCGATGCTTTTGAATAGCCCACTATGGCTCCTACTAAGCCAGCATTGTTATCAAAACACTTGCTCCTACAGAACCCATTCTAATTTTTCAGCTACCACAAGAACCACAGGTTTGGGGCCCGGAGTGTCAGTTTCCCAAAGGACCAAATAAGACACAGATGGGATGAAGGGAAAGGTCAGCACAGTCTGTTCTCAAAAGACTGACGTAGGTGCAATGGATGTCATGAAGATTCTCCAGCCAATCAAGACCCAGATCCTGGCTGGACCGACTTTGTGACCAATTCAGGGAGGGAACAGGGGCGTTGAATGGCTACTGGAGAGAATAAAATGTCAAGTTCTGCACTTTATGTCCCATCCTTTGGAGTGCGGATTTTGTATCAGACATCCTTTCGGGCCTGGAAGCAATAAACCTCTGTTCCTGTGGCCTTCAAACCTGGCTTGCGTGTTGAAATGGGCTTCAAGGTAGTGGAGCACACCAGGCACTGGACTCTCAGACTCTTCTCCTTTGGCCGGGAACTGAGTCTCAACCTCAACCTCTCGGCCTATTTTAGAATACCAATTTTTATAACCTGAAGATAAATAGAGTTGGTTTCAGTGGTGGGAAGAGAAAGAAATGTATATAATAAATGATTTATTTTTTATCAGGAAAACTCACTCAAGTTGAACAATTAATGAATAAAGCCAATTAATCCATCTTGAGTTCAATTAATACAAGTAAATACATTTCAGATAAATACAATCAGAAAAGGACACCCACAATCCTCAAGAGTTTTAATGTTATTTAATGTTATATGAATAAATATGTAATTTTAAACTAAATCAAACTAAATGGCAAGTTTCAACAGTATGCTAGATAATCCAGGAAGTAAAATTTGGAATGTTAAATGCCAGATCTTTTGGTCTTCGGGCGTGAATTTTTCAGGCTCTTCCACCAGTTGCTCATCTTCTCAGCACAGTTTGGTTTCTTCTTCTCCTGGTTTGCAGCACTGATTGAGGCTTTCTGGTTCTTGGCGTCCAAACTGTTTGTGAGTTGCGGGCGGTACTCAGGTTTTCGGGGTTCTGTGCTCTCCCGATGTGTAAATTCACGGTACTTTCCCCATATAATCAGCCTTTCCTCCAAGTTTAGTTTCTTATGTAGGGCTGCAGCAATGACAGCCACTTGGTTATGAATGGGACCTGTGATAAATATGGATTCACGTTCCACAGATGTGCTTTTTGCGGTTTGTTTTTCTGCAAGGAGGTCTTGCTTGCTTTGCTCCCCGCAAAACAAAGGGGGTCCCTCCTCCTTTTCGTCAATAGCTCCGGGTACTCTTTCGCTCTGTGTCCTGGCTTCAGTGTTTTCTATCTCATTTCTGTCCAATTCATCTGTTTGGTTTAAAAAAAAAAAGATTTTAACAATAATTAAAATAGATGAATTTAAACACAAAAAGGAAGAAAATAGAAAAAAAAAGCCAAAACAAAAAACAAAAAGGAAAAACAAGAAAACAACAAAATGGAAAGAGAAGATCCAGAGAGAAAACATGAAATCCCACGTTTAGGCATGTAACGAGTTTATACCTCTCTTGACCCTTCTCTCTATAGAATTAACCTCACAATAATCAAAACAAGAGCTTTGAACCCCACCCCCCCCCAATCGCATTATGTACACACATACACACACTCCCAATCTACTACAGTTTTCATTTCTCTGCTTGATTCAGATATTCTCCTTCTAGGGAAAAGATGCTACCGTTCTATTAACTGACTGGTGGTGCTACATGCCAGGAAAAATCATTTCCAAGACATGAGGCTGGTAGCATGGATAACGGAGGAGTTAAAAACTGCCTAGAAAGGCCAGACTCGAATGACACCTCCAGACTCGAATGACACCTCCAGTCAAGTGAGACGGATGTAATATCTGGGATGTCAACATATAGATAAGCACACACAGCAAAGAGACAAAAGGCCTGACCAGGTGTTTGATCACTCTCTTCTTCCGCCAGGACCACCTGACTGTGAGTATCTGTAAAAAAAATGAAACAAGAAGAATCAGTGATCCATCGAGGGCTCTTGGCAGAGATGCAGAGTTCCAGTGTGCTTGATTTAAGAAGCTCAGAGGCAGGGGAAGAGCAAAGAAGTGTCACTGCTTCAAAAGTGCATGTCTCAGGATCTGAAGGCTGCCATTAGTAGGGGGCAGGGAGAACCCAAGCTGCCTTTTTGGGGACCCCTGCCATGTTCCTCATCAGGGGAGATTCTAGCATCCTCCTCCTTCCATCCCTGCCTCCCTCTTGAGAGCCACCTTCTCCAACCACATAGTTTTGAATATGGGCTGGAGCTGAGGCCTCCTGAGAACTATCCCAAGTTCCACACATGATGCTAAAGAACGGGCAGAGGCTTTTCTTTCAGGAAAGGACATCATTGTGCTTCTGGAAGGGTTCTTTGATCACTCTCTTTTTCTGCCATGACCACCTGACTGTGAGTATCTGTAAAAAAAATGAAACAAGAAGAAACAGTGATCCATCATGGGCTCTTGGCAGAGATGCAGAGTTCCAGTGTGCTTGATTTAAAAGGCTCAGAGGCAGGGGAAGAGCAGAGAAGTGTCACTTCTTCAAAAGTGCATGTCTGCCATTAGTAGGGGGCAGGGAGAACCCAAGCTGCCTTTTTGGGGACACCTGCAATATTCCTCATCAGGGGAGATTCTAGCATCCTCCTCCTCCCAACCCTGCCTCCCTCTTGAGAGCCACCTTCTCAATCCACATAGTTCTGAATATGGGCTGGAGCTGAGGCCTCCTGAGAACTATCCCAACTTTCCAGGGTCCTAAAAAGAGGCCTCCTTACCTCCCATCTGATGCGCAGCCCTGCACTGAGAGCCAAAGACCTTCCTTTGATGCGCTGCCTTGCACTGAGAGCCAAAGTCCTTCTAGGGAGAAAAGAGAATACGGCCGTCTGGAAGGCTTTGTCGGCAGAGAAGAGGAAGCTGTTCTCCACTCAACCTTATCCTGGACTTCCTCTTGCTGCTTCCACTGCCAGGTTTGTTCTACACATGATGCTAAAGAAGGGGCAGAGTCTTTTCTCTCAGGAAAGGTCATCATTGTGCTTCTGGAAGGGTTCTCCGATGCGCAGCCCTGCGCTGAGAGCCAAAGACCTTCTAGGGAGAAAAGAGAATACGGCCATCTGGAAGGCTTTTACGGCAGAGAAGAGGAAGCTCTTCTCCACTCAACCTTATCCTGGACTTCCTCTTGCTGCTTCCACTGCCAGGTTTGTTCTACACATGATGCTAAAGAAGGGGCAGAGTCTTTTCTCTCATGAAAGGTCATCATTGTGCTTCTGGAAGGGTTCTTTGATGCGCTGCCCTGCACTGAGAGCCAAAGACCTTCTAGGGAGGAAAGAGAATACGGCCGTCTGGAAGGTTTTGACGGCAGAGAAGAGGAAGCTCTTCTCCACTCAACCTTATCCTGGGCTTCCTCTTGCTGCTTCCACTGCCAGGTGTGTTCTATACATGATGCTAAAGAAGGGGCAGAGTCTTTTCTCTCAGGTAAGGTCATCATTGTGCTTCTGGAAGGGTTCTTTGATGCGCTGCCTTGCACTGAGAGCCAAAGTCCTTCTAGGGAGAAAAGAGAATACGGCCGTCTGGAAGGCTTTGTCGGCAGAGAAGAGGAAGCTGTTCTCCACTCAACCTTATCCTGGACTTCCTATTGCTGCTTCCA